TAGGCCACTTGGAGGCTGAGGGCCAGGCACTGGGGCAGAAGGCAGCCCCAATTCCCACCAGCCACGGCAGGCACAAGGAAGGAGACTTCATGGCATACCCACCCTGCAACCTTGACTTGGTTGTGAGAAACCAGGGTTTGGGTGGTTCTAGTTCCAGGAGGGGCACCCAGCAACGAGGAGCAGGACAGGCACTATCAGGGGCAAGCCTGCGATGAGCCTCTTCCTGGAAAGCAACATCAAGGGCATAGAAGACAATGCTATGGCTGACATGTAGCCATCCACCCTTCGTACCCCCAGCCCAGGTCAGAGTATACAGGAAAGTGTCACCTTGCCATCATGGACTGTCTGAATCCTAACCACATGAAGGCAGGAGCCACTCCCGCTGGCAGACTGTGTCCTTATCTAGAGTGTGGCCCTGCATCTGTGCATCCAATATTTATGACTGCACAGAGTGGGGAAGAAGGTAAACTCTGTCCGCTCACTCATGGAACTTTCACATTTATCAGAAGGGTATCAGAGAATACATAACAAAGGGACAGCAGACCAGAAACCAGAATGTGAAGCATCTGCTCTGGAGGAGAGGAGGCACATTCCCAGCAGCCAGGCTAGATGATGTGAGCGAGACAGGGTAAGGGCTAAGAGCCAGGCTGGAAGGGACTCTGGCTTAGGGACCCCTACAGCAGCAGGCCAGCTGATGCATTCAGGGGTAACGGAAAGAGCAGCCAGCGAACTTCTGCAGACATCCAGAGAGGATCGCTGCAGACACCCAAGACCTGGGAGGCATTGTAGTGAGGCATGCACAGTCCACATAGGACTTGAGAAGTGAAAACAAGCAGGGTGTGGCAAGGAATAATGACAGAACATGCGCAAGAAGGTGGCCCATGTGCCCCTCGCTGTCTGGAGATGCCATTCCAAACGGGAGCAAAAACTGACTTGGGGTAGAGAGAATATGGACTCCTTTGCACAAAGTGGGGTTGGGATGTCAGGGAGGCAATCACGACAGCAGCCCGGGATCAAGAGAGAGGTCTGGCCAGGAGTGTCTATACACATGGGTTAGTGTCCCCAAGACTGTGTCTACATCTATGAGAAAGCAGACCGCTCCAGGGGCAGTGCAGCCAGAAAGAAAAGAGGAGGGCTGGAAAAGTCCTGGGAAACCTGTCGTTTAGTAGCAGGGACAGAAGCTGCAGTCAGCGGCGTCCGTGCATGCAGAGGACAATAGCGGGTGCAGAGGGAGCCAGTGCCTGGCTTCAGGAAGCTCCTGGCTGAGGACATCTCATAACGCAAAAAGCCTCATGGGAAATACATACTCGCCACGAAGAGTACAGTCCCCTACATGACATCATCGGGGCCTGTGTATTTCTTCCTACTTGGGTCTCCATTGAGCTCCCATGATATCTTTTGTCTCCTCCTATCTTCCTCTCCATCATTCCCTAACAACTTCCGTGTAGCTGTCCTCACGGGTGAGTCTTCTACAGGTGTGAGATGGGTGGAATCAGACGAGCACCCTGAGGGAAGCCAAGTGGAAGCCAGAAAAAGAGAAAGAGGGTCCTTGTAGGACTGAGATAAGAACCAGAAGGAATACTGACCCACTGCCTACTACACAATGCAGAGGCTCCAGACGAAGAAATCGGGAGCAAATGCACACCAGGCCTCCAGCACCAGGTCCCCTGAGCAGCAGGGAGGGTGTCTGGGAGAGCAGACAGAAGTTTGACAACAGAAAGGGATGTCTCAGCTTAGTCCAGGAGAGGCACTGTGCCACCCAGAGGTACACCATGCTGGGGACAGCTAGATAACCCCTGTCCTTAGAAATCAAAGTCAAAATGACAGCTCTGTGTAAAGAACCTAGAGAACACAACAGACCATGAATGACATGTTTGACCTAAGTTACTTCGTTTGTTCCTTACAACTCTGGAAGGAAGCAGCTATTGTTAGTTGCAGAGCACAGAAGAGGACACTGAGACACAGTCTGAGCAGCTTGTCCAGAGCCACACACCCACCAAGTGGGTCTCTAGCACAGGCTCTGCTGACTGTGTTCAAAACACCATATGTCTAGCCATGAGCCAGGCTGTCTGCACAGCTGCTCATTTAGCAGAAAGAATGGGGGTAAGAGCTGGAGACTGGATTCATATACAGACTGCTGGACCCCCACTCCCTGGCTTGGACAGCTATCCAGGTTCATCTACATACGTGGGGTGGGGATCAAACCCAGCCTCATGAGTCATTGTATTAAAGTCTCTGTGAGTTTGAAACCAGCCTGGTCTATAGAGAGAGTTCCAAGACAACCAAGGACAGCTAAGGCTACACAGAAACTCTGTCTCAACAAACAAACAAAAAATCAGAAATATAGGGGGCTGGAGAGATGGCTCAGTGGTTAAGAGCTCTGCTTGCTCTTCCAAAGGTCCTGAGTTCAGTTCCCAGCAACCACATGGCTCACAACCATCTGCAATGAGATTTGGTGCCCTCTTCTGGCTGCAGGGATACATGCAGGCAGAGCACTGTGTACATAATAAATAAATAAAATTTTTAAAAAAAGACCCAGGAATATAAAGAACTTAAAAATATAAAGGACTTATGGTAACCTGGTGCACTGTGAGAATTATAGACTGTGTTGCTGTTAATACCAAAGACAATCCTGCGTAAGTTGTCGTACACTGTATGACTAAGACTCTACTAAAAAGGGACCTGGTGACTTGCCCAAGGATCTAACACTAGGGTTTGAACATCCATCTCCTTAGACCTGATACCAGAATCTAAAGCATAGACTCTTAACCGTGAATCTTATTACAAGAGTTGGGGTCTAGAGATGGGGTCTAGGGATGGGCAGGCCTCTCCTCAGTCACTGTAGGGTCCTCCCCAGAGCAGCCCCATTCCCTGTGTATTCACGTCAAGATAGGAAGGCTGGGGGAGGTTCTGGGCCCCTTCCCCAGCTGTGTGGAGACAGGGATGAGCTAGTGTGAGAAAACCGAAGACTCTCCTCAAACCAGCAGCTGTAAACAGGACAGTCACCTCACATCCTGCTGCCCTTGCCCTCAGTCAGCTGCTCCCAGAGATACGTAAACACATGAATCATGCAGAAGAACTGGCAAGGCCACATAAAAAAGGCAGATACCAAAACCAAGGGAGAAAACAATGACCAGAGACACAGCAGTCCCCCAGCTTCCAATGACTCTGGAAGAAGGGAGCAGACTAGCCAGGGTGGTGGCATAATGTGTTAGGACTTAGGATTGCTTCTGCAAGTGACAAGAGGGGCCAGGAAGAGGTGGCAGCTGAGCCAGGACCAGCACTTCTAAACACAGAGAATAAATTGAGTTCTCGATACATTATATCCAGGAGCCAGATATATCTGGGGAGTCAGAAGAGAATCCAAGTTCTCCACATGGTTTGGGGTCCAGCACTGAAATGGGGTTATGTCAGACACTCCTCCTAATCTTTTCTCATCTCCCACCTGCCTGGAAGGCACCCCATGTGGACGAAATTGCTAGTATAGAATCCTGAACATTCTCTGGCATGGCATCTCCCCATCCCTAAGGGCAGCTGCATAGAGGGGAGGGGGCAATAAGAAGCCACTGGGGAAGTACAGAGCCAGCTGCCAGGGTTTGGAACCAAGAGCGTCACATTCTACACAGCCCTGGGCCCGGTTATCCAGGGCCAACACCCCCGTCGCTCACGTGGCTCACGTGGTTTTTATTAGGCTCATTAGCAGCAAAATAGCAACAAGCAAACAGCATAGGGACCAACTAATTACCACACAGCTCTTCAGTGGGAAGCCCTCTTCAAATAGGGAAGAGCTGCCAGCCTATAGCCTGGTCTAAGGGTTAGGGGACAGGTTGGGGAGGGGTGTAGCCTAACCAAGCTGGACAGAGAAATAATGGGGGTATAGGTACCTACACATCCTCCAGCAGCACCCTCTGAGACATGAGGGTGCATACACGCTTGGTCCGAGACACTCTGCATTCACCCAACCTCAAGTTTCCAATGTTGAAGCTACAGTTTGGCAAAGAAAAATACTGGAAAATCACAAGTGAGTTAGGAAACAGCCTGTAGGCCTGCAGGGTTGAGTGTGACCAGGCCCAGACCCCTCAGGCATCTGGGCAGAAACCCACTCCCTGTGAGGCTGCCTGTTGAGTCAACCCAAGCCTCACTCTACCAGCCAAAGGCTGCCTGCAAAGACTGAGCTGTCTGGAACGTACCAATCTTCTTCTCCAACCTTGAGCTTCAGACCTCGCCAGAGTCCCCAGGAACTACACTATTCTACCCAGCGCGGATGCAGAGGGAGGCCCAGGGCAGGTACCTGGCAGCAGCAGGGCGTATGGTGCTCCCTGGCGTCAGGAGCTATCTGAGCTCAGTTCTACTTCTGCCATTGCCTGCTTGTTTCCTCATCCACCAAGGGGAAGGTTCAGCACAGTTTATATAAAATGGCTACTGTACTAAAGTATTGGCTCTTGTCACTGCCTCTGACATGAATGGAGGCAGGGGTCATGGCTCTCCCACCCTTGAGTGAAGGGTCGGCCTAGAAGTCCTGCCTCTTCCTGCCTCCATCCTTGGTCTCCACATCGCTAAGAGGATTTCTTTCTTTCTCGACATTTAAGACAGTTTGGCAGGTTTCAGAGTAATCTGAGAGAAGGCTGTTCCAAAAACCAACTCAGAACCTTATTTGATCATTCTAGGACCAGGTCTGCCTGATAGGCCAGGATTGTGGGCCAGGGGTCAGGGCAGAGGTGGCTTCCCACAGCCCATAGTGAGAATGGTGCCCCCCCCCCAGAGGTTTATTCTGCAGACCACAAACACGGGTAGCCAGAAGAAGGAGAGGTAAGAAGTTTAAAACGTGAGCGGGAATCTGCTTTGAGGAAGTTTCCCTTCTACTACACACCGCCTCCACTCTGAAGACCGGCTGCATCCTCAGACGGAAGCCAAGGAAGATCCGTCTGCTCCAGGTCTTGGAGTTCTCATCCTGGTCCACCTCAAGAGCAAAACGGGTGGATGGGACAGGAGATACTCACGTTTGATACAGTGGTTGGTGCTGTTGGATGTCGTCCATCCTGGGCAGCACTGTCCCCCGCAGACATTTCTCCTGTGGAGTCGCCAGAGCAAAGTTAACACAAGGATGCTCAGAGCTGGGACTCTTCACACAGCCCTCTTTAGGCAGGGCTTGGGGGAGTAGTTAGAGGCTGGGAAGACTGTCCCCATTCCACGGGGAGGCCACCTGGTCCAGGGACGACCACTATGGCGTGACAAAGACCAAAGTCGCGTCTTGCCCCTGCCATTCCCTGTAGACCTCTGGGAGGCCTCAGTCTCTCCATCTGCGCAATGGAGACAATACCTGCGTTGCTGAGTGACTGGGAAGAGTGAGAAGAGGTGTCTAGCACACAGTACCCAGAAGTCAATACAGAGCAGAGCATGGTGGTACCCTGACAGGAGTTCTAGGCCAGCCTGGAACTGGGCAAGACCTCATCTCAAACAATCAACACACACACACACACACACACACACACACACACACACACACACACAGAGTAACAAGAACAAGATGGTAAACAAGTCCAGAGAGATTAAGCCATGTGATTGTTGAGTACCAGAGCCCAGTTCAAATCTAGCCTGGCAGACTAGTGGGCAGCTCGGTGAGAGAGAGCCTGCCTAGCCGGGTTGGAGGCCCTGGGTTCTATCCAGAACACCAAAACCCAAACCTCTGAGTTGGTCAAACTCTAAACCAGGCTCCAAGTCTGCAATGCCTCTCACCAAAAGCCACACACTGTGCTCTGGGCCTGCCAGTGCTGACAAGGAAGTCATGCATCAACAGTCTTAAGGATATGGATGCGTGCTACTGTCCCACGAATCCAAACCAGGAGGAGTAGAGACCTGGGCAGCCACATATACGATCAGACTGAAGGCTAAGAGGGAGACTAAAGAAACAAGGGCTCTTGGGTCACTGTTTAAGACTTCTAGCGTGATAGCTGGTAGGAGATGGGACATAACGAAGCCACCTCTGTCCAACCAGCACACTTTTCACTTGGGAACGACAATGGAACGTAGTGTATGGGGGATGCACCTGGCCCTGACACCTTCGTGAGACCTTAACTTTGGGTCCTGGTGAAACACTCACTCCACTTGTGCAAACGTTGGCCTCAGGAGTCTGGTGAGAGCCACCAGTACCAAAAGGTTCTCCAGTCCAAGCCCTCCATCTCCAGAACCGCCTAACCAGACAAGGGAAACGCCCCCAAGAGGGAGTGCCCCAGAGAAGACTTCTTTGGACAGGACCAGGAGGAGCTGACTCTGACTCCCTGGGCCCAGTCATAAGGAGCAGAAATGAACCAGGGTTGAGTGGGAGGGAGAGGCTGGGGGGCCAAAGGCTGGAGTGGGTGGTCATTCCTGGGATCCTTGGGGCCAAGATGACGAGCATCTGGTGCCGCTTAGGAAATTGTTTGACATTTGAGTGGACCCCAAAGCTTGTGCGGTTGTGAGAGTAATACAAAGAATTCAAAATAAATTCCTAAGGACTGCAAAGGCTGAGGCCCATTCCTGGCCCTTGGGCCCAATGTTGTGGGGCACGGCCTCCCAGGGAGCTTTCAGAATGTCCTGCTGGCCAAGAGCTTTGTCCTGCTGGCTACCTCCCCCAGAACCGTCCTGGTTCCACAAGGCTCTCCTCCCAATCAAGGCCCAAGCCTCTGGGCCCCAAGGAGACAGCTGCCCAGCCCCCAGCCCCGCCCCCAGACCTAGGGCTTTCCGGTATATACCCAGGTAGAAGAAGAAAAAATAGTCCACTCATTTGGAAGTTGCTACCCCACTGTGGTAGTGACAAGCATCTTTGCGGCCTGGGAGGTCTTTGAGAGAAAACAGGCTCTGTGCCCTGGGAGTTTTCTAAAAACCAGCGCCTGTGGGAGCACAGCACAAACCAAGGAGTCTACTTGGCTGGGAACAAATCCTGCCGAGAGGCCCCCTGAGCCACGCATCACCCCAGATGCTCTCAGGATGGCTTTACAGCAAAGAGCAGGAGGTCAGCAGTCAGGTCTGCTTTGCCAGCCTACAAATGAGTCCTAAGGCATGTCAGAAGCAGAGCAGAGACTGGCCGGAATCAAAGGCCGTCAGCAGCAGGGACAGGATGGCCCTGGGAGGGTACCTAAAGGAGATTCAGATACTCAACGGACTTCTTCGAGGATCTCACAGATCCAACCAGGTGATAATCACCTCCATCCAGCTTGGAGGTGATTATCCCCGTCGTTTAAAGCTCCTCTGACGAGTGTCTGGCTTCCCCTGCTCTCACTGCCATCATTTAGTAGCGGTGGCTCATGCCACTAGGGTCCACCTCTGTCCTCAAAGGTTCTTTCCTTTTTCTCTTTGCCTCTGCAGGCTGACAGAGTGCCTAACACATGGTATACATTAAATACTTCTTTTAGTCACCCGGTCCAGGGCTTCCTCGGAAGCGGACTGAGCAATGCAGAGGGTAGGAAAGGGGATGTTAGGTTTCTATGACCAGCCAACTTAACAGTACCGACTTCCACAGCAAGGAAGTGATTTCCTGCTCCATGATTTTTCTAACCTACTTAGGCAGGTAGCAGGTCTCCATCCTAGGTCCTCAAGCTGGATCCTGTCCCTGGACACAGCAGCCCGTCCACTTCTCCATAGAGAGCAGAATCCTCGGGATTCAACTTCCAGAACAACGGCTGGTGCCTGACCAAAACTGGAAAGCTTCTTTTTTTGTTTCAAATTTTCCTACATTTATTTTCTCTTTTTGCAAATAGTACTGCTTTTAACTTGCAATAATGATACAAAGTTTTCTTTTAATTATGGATTTATTTATGCTGAAAAATGAGTCAGGCTCTGTTTGTAATGGCAAAAAAATGTAATTCATCTAAACATCCAGAAACAGGAGGATGAATAAATAAACTGTGGTATATTTAGACAAAGGAACAATATACAACAGTTAAAATGAATAAACTTGAGCTGTATATTATCATAGTTAAGTCTCAAAAGGCTAATGAGGAAGGAAAAACATTGTAGGAGAATACAATATGCTATCATTTATCTAAGTTTAAAATATGCAATACTGTGTATTTTATGGATAGTTACATCTGCTGTAATAGTATAAAGCACACACTGGAAATATTTAAATCCAAATTTAACTGCAGAAAGAGGGAGGCAAATTTATAGAGGAAATTTAAGTTAAAAAACTAACAATAAAATAACTTGTGAGTTCTGTTATTTTCAGTGTCTTTTAGTATTTGTTTAAAACTTCATATTTACTTCAAAATATATAACATGGAATTCTGTTACTTTAATAATATATTGAGGAATAAAAACCTTGCAAGACGGCTCATTGGGTCAAAGCACTTGCTGTCAAGTCTGACAGCCTGAGTTCAAGCCCTGGAACCCACTTGGTGGACAGAGATAAAGTAAGAGAATATGAAGGAAATACATAGATGATCTACTATGAGGCTGGTCCAAAAAACACCGAGCACCGGGAAACAATGGCTTAATGAGTCTCCTGTAGACTGTATGACATAGCTACACTGCTCACCACTGTACCTCGGACACTTAGCCCAGTGTCTAGCACATATTTTTATTGATATTTATTGACTTCCCTCCCTGCCTCTCCTCTCCCCCCTTCAACCCTCCACCAAGGTCCCCATGCTCCCAATTTACTCAGGAGATCTTGTCTTTTTCTACTTTCTACTTCCCATGTAGATTAGATCTATGTAAGTCTCTCTTAGTGTCCTCATTGTTGTCTAAGTTCTCTGGGATTGTGGTTTGTAGACTGGCTTTCTTTGCTTGATATTTAAAAACCACCTATGAGTGAGTACATGTGATAATTGTCTTTCTATGTCTGGGTTACCTCACTCAAAATGATGTTTTCTAGCTCCATCCATTTTCCTGCATTATTCAAGCTGTTGTTATTTTTTTCTGCTGTGTAGTACTCCATGTGTAAATATACCACATTTTCCTTATCCATTCTCCGGTCAGGGGACATTTAGGTTGTTTCCAGGTTCTGGCTATGACAAAGCTGCTATGAACATAGTTGAGCACATATCCTTGTGGCACGATTGAGCATCTTTTGGATATATACCCAAAAGTGATATTACTGGGTCTTGAGGAAGGTTGTCTCCTAATTTTCTGATAAATTGCTACACTGACATCCAAAGGGGTTGTACCAGTTTGCATTCCCACCAGCAATGCAGAAGTGTTCCCTTTTCCTCACAACCTCTCAAGCATAAGTTGTCATCAGTGTTTTTGATTTTGGCCATTCTCACAGGTGTAAGATGGAATCTCAGAGTCATTTTGATTTGCATTTCTCTGATGACTAAGGATGTTGGGCATTTCCTTAAGTGTCTTTCAGCCATTTTAGATTCCTCTGTTGAGAGTTCTCTGTTTAGGTCTGTACTCCATTTTTTATTGGATTATAGCACATACTTTTAAAAAAATACCCACTACATCAAAAATTACATAAGGACAGGGTTTATCTGTCTTGTCCGCTGTTATACCCACAGGGTCCAGCATAGAGCATATTGCAGGAGGAAAAAAAAAAGTCTTAAGTAGCAATGGTGTGCAGTTCTACATTCCACCAGCAGATGGCACTTGGTCCCTAGCTCTGACTTTTACACAATGGCCAGAATGGACATGGATTGAGGAAGTTAAGGAATAATTTTGTCGTTCAGCCCCTCCCCAGGGGTTGAATGGTATCCCAAAAAGAAGTCATTATCTACCAAATGTGCAGGAGACAAAACTGAGGAGCAGGAGACAAAACTGAGGAGCCTACTCCAGCACAGGTGTGTGCCTGTGAATACAGCAGGTGCCTGTAGGTAGCACCCAGCCGTTTACATACCTGAATCCCATCTGCCAGCTGTGTCTTGGTGACAGTCTGCTTTACTTAACTTTATGACTTCTAACAGCAACTTTCCAACACACACACACACACACACACACACACACACACACACAGCTTGCAGTATAAATTCCCCTATGACAGCTCAAACTCCATCCCTAGCCTAAGCCCCTGACTCTCCTATACCCCTGGGCAAATGCCAACGGTGAAAAGTCTTGTCCTGAGGCAGCGTTAAGCCAGTCTGACATGCCATCTACAGGTGTCACTCTGGCCATCTCCTTCCTCGTGTTTTCTACTGACCCCCAGGGGTCCCAGGTCACAGTGTCTCTTCCCTGAGCCTCTCCACTACATTGTACTGCTCCACTGCACTTAGCAAACCCTTTCAGTACTTTTAGAAATACATTCACCGGCACATACTGTTCATGATTATAAGTAACTGAGGAACAGCGTTGGATTCTGTGGGTCCCCGCCTCCTTTCCCAGGCTCAGCAATATGTAATCAGGCAGTTGCCCGCACAAGTCAGGAAAGAGGAGAAAGCAGAAACAGGGCAGATGTCCCATTAACTCTCCTTGAAGGGTCCTATGCGGGAGCCACTTGGCAGCACGCAAATCTGCGCCCTGCAGACTTTGGGCTAGACCTGCGAAGGCAGCAAGGGAGTCCGTCCGTTTACACTCAGGGAAAGCCAGCTATGTGCAGGCGCTGATCTGCTGGGAACACACCCCTGCTTTCATAGAACCCTTAGAAGTGAGCACATACGCAGAAATTGAAATGTATAAATGAGGGCTCTAAGGAAGCATACGTTGAGGCCAGAGAAGGGATGAGACCCAGTGTATTCTGAAGTATAGAGAAAGCGCTGCATCCAAGGACCAGGAAGCAGAAACTCCCCGGAGTAGAACTAGGGGCCCAAGCATCCGGACTGCTACCTGGGACTAAAACCAACAGGTAAACCAGGCTCAAGCCAAAGGCTGCCAAAGCCCCTCCTAGCCTTACCAATGGCACCCTGCCCTGTCCGGCACTGCCAGGCTAGGGTACCCTCATTTCAGAGGCACCTGGATCCTCAGGTAAGATCCCTGACCATTGTAATTCTGGGCAGGGTGTTGTTGGGGCGGAGGAGGGGGGAAGCCTCCTTCTGTGGTAATAGAGTACAAGGTCCGCGGAGAGTGGGTGGTGCGAAATAATTAATTGAAGAGTTGGAGAGAGACTTGTACATTAAAAAGTGTACAAATAGTGCTGGCACAGAGACTCACTGGCACACACAGACCCAGTCCCTCACACGGCGTCGGGGCAGCCTTTCCCTCCAAAGAACTCCTAAGCCCATGCCTAAGCCCTCTGCGAGTCCCAGCAGCCCCTGAGCCCGGACCATACACTTGTCTTGGCGCGCCGGCTCTCTGTCAGCCTCTTCCTGGAGAAGTATCTGTCTTCGCGCCCTGGTGTCCCCATTTCCCCGCCCAGATCCTCCACCTACAGGCTCCCTGAGCCAGTTTAACCTTCTCTGGGCCTCCAGAACCCAGAGCGCCCACCCAGCTGCCTGCTCCCCAACGGCCGATCTTGGCAATGTTGCCTGTCACGGAGCTAATTAGCCCAGCACAGATTGAGCTAGAAACACACAAGAATTTAACGTCGGGGATCCGGACGAGCTGGTGTCCAAGGGAAAGGATAGTAGATTTATTTTTTTCCCCAAAAACCTTTTTGAAAGCTAGTTCTGAGCCCCGGCTTTGGAACCTCGGAGCGGTTTCTCTACAGTACTGAGGACAAAGCGGGCACAGTCTCCTCTGGTCCCTAACGCCAGTGAAGGAAGGCATGACCGTCCGACCACCTCCCCCGGTCCCCCCGTGCGTGCATCCCTTATCCACCCCACCATTCCCTCTCCAGTGCTCACCCGGTGAGCCGCCCTTGCCGTACAGCCGCAGGTCGCTGCGGGGTCACCGGGCGCGCGACGGAAGGCACAGCCCGGGCTGCCGGATGCGGCTGGCCCCGGGGACTGTTTCTTCGGGTCTGGACAGGTGATTGGACTCGACGCAGCTGTTGGGCACGGGATGGCCTCCTGGCCTCCGCCTCCGCCTCAGCGGGCCTCCTGGGGCTCCGCTGGCCCGGCTGGTTCCACTCCGAGGGCGACAAGCCAGACACCGGAGCATCAGGCTCCCGAAATAGACTGTACACCTTGGCTGCAGCCGCTACGGGGTGGCTGCCCACGGGGCGCCACAACCGATTCGTATCCCTGCTAGCTGGTTCGTATCTCCCCATGGAGTCCCTTTGTGCATGACCTGTCCCCATCAAGAGAGCCAGAGCAAATGGCAGAAAGCCCCTCCAACGCATCCGTAGGATGCGTCCGTAGCAGCGGGCGGTGATCGGAGCCCTCATGGCGCCAGAAAGGCTGCGGAGCTGCGGGCACCGGAGACCTCGCGGGAGATGCTCTCTATCGTTCGCTCCGTGGACTTGCCTGGCTGCTTGCCCCACCCGTCTAGGGGGGCTCTGAAGGAGCCGACTGGGGGCCAGAGAGTTCCCCGGCAAGCACTGTATGGCGTGAGCTGCCTGTACTGTGCACCGAACCCGAGTCCACTGCACCTCTACGTCTGCTCCCCGCACTGCAGCCGTCTGAAGGGGAACCGGAGGGTTTTATTTTTGGAAACCGCCCCCTGACTTTTCGTCTCTTTTATCCACGCCATGCCCCCTTCTTGGAGGGACAGCTCGGCCCCCTTATTACGGGAGACAGGAATTCCAGCAACACCCACTTTGGCACCGAGAAGCGAGCGGGCGGCGAGGGGATTAACCCGTGAGGAGCTGCGGGTGACGCAGGGCAGACCCGGGGACTGGAAGGACCATGACGTCTGCGTGGACAAGTGCACCTGAACCGCTGATCTCCTGTCTTGAGCAAGCTCAAATTGTCCACCTGTCCTGAATGTATTTCCTGCTCCTGACCTCACGGACTCAGATTTGGAACAAGGCTGCTTCTCAGGCCTGATGGAGGCTGGGAGGGTACCCAGACCGGAGTAAAGGGGACAGAGTCTGAGGCATGCGCGCCTGGTCCCGTCGCTTCCGCCCTTGGCCGCTGGGGGCGCTAGGCGAGAATGCAGGTGTCCCTGGGGCAGCAGCCAGGAGCCGGACACCTATGGGGAAGGTCAACTGGGGGCGCGCGCCCTCTAGTGGAGCTAGTCGCACGCTTGGCAGTCGGGCCTTGTAGAGACAGGCTCTGCCAGCTGCCTCAGCTCCTTGATCTTCATCAGCTTCCTGGAGCGTCAAGGCTTGGCCTGGACCTGTGGTGAGGATGGCTGCCGCTGGAAAAGGTATTTAGACATGGAGCCTCTTGAATTAGGTGACCAAAGAAGGGCATTGCCAAAGAGGGAAATAAGAAGTAGGGCTATGGCCTGTGGTTCATGGTCCACTCCTTGGACTCCTGTCACAGCCCCTCATTCCTGGGGGCGGGGGGATTCCCCCTAGGGAGACTAGATGAACCTCTGATTGGTCCCTGACAGGCCTGGTTCTTACGTCTTGTAGTGAAGGGTGTAGGGATGCCGGTTGCCTCCCATCCGAGCACCTTTTCAAATCTGCCATCTTTCTCCCTCGTGTCTTCTGCCCCAAAGCCTGAAGGCCTTTGGCAGGGGCAAATAAGGCTTTCCTGGAAATGTTTGCCTACTATCTCTTAGGGGGCAGCGTGAAAGCATGGGTAGAGGGCACCCCTGCCAGCTTCCCGTACCAGTCTCTCCCTTCCAGAAGTCGGGAACTATTTCGCTGGAGAATAAAGCCTCAGTACCTGACACTGGCCTACAGAACTCTCCACGCCCGGCTGACTCTCTGGCCTAGGTGAGCTTATTCTTGCTCAGGATACGGTCCACAGCCTCTGCACTGGCCCTCTCCGCAGTCTGCCACGGTGCCCACTTCCCTCCACTGGAATGCTCACCTCCAAGAGGTCTTCAGGACAAGCTCTTCATTTCACCTCACGGGGCCAACATCACCCGCTAGAGTGGCCCTGTGTGCTGGTCAGCTTCCCCCACCCGTGAGGAAATACCCAAGGTTAGCCCCTTTCAAAGGGAAATTGTTTCTTCCGGCTCATGTTTTCCGCCCTCAGCTCATTGGCTCCCCATTGCTTTGGGGCCCGTGCTAAAGGAAGGCAAAGGGAGAGGGGAACCTCATGGCAGCCTGGAAGCAAAGAGAGAAACAAGGGGCCAAGGTCCCTGCTGTTCCTTAGAGAGCATGTCCCCAATGATCTAACTTCCTTCCCCTGCTCTCCACCTCTCCAAGGTCCCATCACCTCCCAATAGTGTTACAAACCAGTCATCAAGCCATCGACACATCTCTGGAGAGAAACCTGAGCACCAAACTGTAACAGCATCCCTGAACCCCTAGTCTAGAATATCCCTTGCACCCCAAGTCACCACTGCCTCACACATCACCCTGCTCTACCGGCATGGCTCTGCCGAGCTAAAATTATCTTACTCTCTGGTGACTTGCGCCGCTGGTTCTTTAGAGAGGCCGAACCTGAAGGAGGACGGTCAGCTAAACTTCTCTGCCTCCCACCACGTAAGATGTGTAGTTGTGTGTGTCTATATGTGAGCATGTGCGCATGCGTGCAGGGGCCGCTGAAGGCCAGGGGTATGGGGTTCCCTGGAGCTGGAGCCATCGGATGTGGCTCTGGGAACTGAACCCCCGTCCTCTGGGGGAGCAGCAAGTGCTCTTCATCTCTGAGTCACCTCTTCAGCCCATTCTTCTCTGCTCCTGACACACCTCCGACACAGTCCTTGGCTTTGCCCATTCCTAATGGATCCAAGAACAGCCTTTGTAACTGAGATCAACTTGTAGACGCTAAAGAGCCTGCTCTTGTTCAGGTCAAAGGCTCATTTGATTTAATCAATATCATATTCAATTTAATCCTCTTCCTCTCTCCCCTGCTTCCCCACCTGCAGGCCCTGTAGTGGGGAGACAGGGGTGGGGAGACGGGGTGGGGTCTGTTTCAGACTCTCCTTTCCCACTGGGGTTCTGCTGAGTCAAGGTTCCACAGGAAGCGTCAGAGAAAGAGCAAGAGTCATGTTTAGTAGGTGCCCAAGCATTGGACACACATGTGGCGGTGGGCGGGGCTTCCACCCTGCACTGTCATAGCCTAATAGTCTCTAACCAACCTCCTGAAGAGACAGTCCAGTGCCTGCCAGGCCAAGCAGTGGTAAGGAGGCCACTTACTTCCCCACCAGGGAGACCACCCTAGCCTCCCAGCCACGATTCTTCATCAGCAACTGCACAGAGTCTCATCAAATATGTACTTGCTCAGTTCCTAAAGATGGATGCTAGGGTCTCCCAAGAACTTTGTGCTGTGCCTTGGCACATGGGAGTACCTGTAATCTCCAGCGATTGTCCAGGTCCCAGAGGAAGGGCAGCTGGGAGGAGTCACAGTGGTCTCCTCTTCTGGCAGGTGATGCCTCCCTTCACTCAGTTTCCGTTAGGGTGTCCTCAGGGAAACCTCAGCTCTGTCTACAAAGGTAGCCAACGTGTTCTCTCCCCAGGGACTAACTGTATCCTTTGCTCTGTGGACAAGAGTCAAGGTAGTTTGTACAAACCTGCTCTACTTAAAGGTATCCTGTACTTCTCTTTAGAATGCTCTGTTCTACGCTCTGCCATTTCAGTGGGCATTCTCTCTCTCTCTCTGTGTCTCTCTGTCTCTCTGTCTCTGTCTCTGTCTCTCTGTGTGTGTGTGTGTGTGTGTGTGTGGTGTGTGTACGTGCAGGGACACACATATGTGCAGTGGTCAGAGGTGTCATCAACCTTGGGTGTCATTCCTCAGGGGCCATCCATCTTGGGTCATTTTGTTTTGTGATTAAAAACCTCTCACTGGCCTCGACTTGCTTGCTGACTGGCTAAGCTGGTGTCTAAGAAGCCCCACAAATTCATCTATCTTGGCCTTCCCAGCACTAGGATTAACAAGCAGGTGCTACCAGGCCTGTTTTTTTTTTTTAACCTGGCTTGTAAGGATCAAACTTGGGGCTCTGCTTGCAGGCAAGCACTTTACCAGCTGAGCCATCTCCCCAGCCCAGCGTCAGCCGACCAGCTAAAGCCACAGGAGGAGTCCTGTCCAATACCTATATCTGTCATCTTAATTCCCCAACTACTGTATCTCTAAATGAGCTGATATGTTGCTCACTGTCTCCTCAGAACATAGAACAGGGCTAGAATCTGGTGGGCAGGCAAGAGATACACCTCAACTGTGGCTCAGGAATGAATGGCGGAATGCCCCACCAACCAGGAAGGACTGGTATCCCTAAGCCTGTTTGAAAAGAAGACAAACTTGAGTTCTGGGTAGCGGTTCATTTCCTGTCCAAACGCTCATGCTTGCTGTCCTTGGGGACAAATGCTACCTCCATCCCCAGGATGCTCAGGCTTATTCCTTCACACTGATGCAAGCCGCGGCCATGCTGACTTTTTGCTTGGAGTGGGTGCCTATGCAGTCCAGGCCTCCCTCTTCTACCTGTCCAGTGCCTTCAGGGGCCCTCTTCTCCAGTCACCTCACAACCCCAAAGGCTCCTCAAGGCCAGAAACTTTGGCGTCATCTCTCCCTGAGCTATTTTTTCCTCCTGTGTGTCCAAGTCATTATTACTGCTCCGTCTCCCCAGCCTGAATTTCTGGAAGTCTGCCGCCCATTCAGCCTCTCACTGCCAGCCTCAGCCAAGAGCCTCAGCAGACATGCTTCCCTCACCACCCGGCGCCCCTCCCACTCCTCAGTGAGTACAAGTGGTCCTTGGAAATCCCCACCCTGTACTCCTGGGGCCCAGAGCCCCAATCATCTACTCCAAAGCTTGGCATCTGCTGCCCGTCTGAGCTCCATCCTCCTGTCTCACCTCTTTTGTCTTCCACACGCCTACCCCCACCCCCCCGTAATTATTGGCACCTCATGACATAGCTTTTCAAAATCCCTTCTCCCATTATCACTTGAGTTCTGGTAGAGTTTTGCTTCATTTTGCTGTCCTAAGCTGTCAAAATTTGTGACCCTTAGTATGGCCCAGGCGCTGTGTTAATCACGCTCCGCAGAATGACTCATGCAGCCGACCTGGAGAACATCGTCACTGTGATTTCCATAAAGAAGAGTGTGAGGCTGGAGACAGTTACTGGCTTGCCCGAGACCACGCAACTTGTTGATACGCAGCAGACCCAAGATTTGAGCCTGGCTCACCGAAGCCCAAGCTTTTAAGGCCATATCATCCAGAGCTCCCATCACAACCAAGCGGGACCTTCCCAACTACCCCCACTGTTGTGACCACTAAAGAATCTCCTGTGCATAGTCTCAAATGCCTCACCCATGCTGGCCTGTTACCTAAAGAACTGGGGTGATCAGAACATTCTGCTCCACTGAACCCCATCTGCACAGTCCGAGAAGGGGTTAACTGTTCCTAGCATGGCCCCTGACTCACCATGTGTCATTTCCCTGTCACTGATGAGGCAGGAGAATGCTGTTAAGCCCACTCACACATTTGTGGAGTCTGGAGGGAAAGCATTTCTGGAAAGCCCTGAAGAATCACTTTTAAAGGGTCAACATTGGTCAGGACCCTGCCCCACCAAGGGAAGGGCAGTCTGCTGGACACACGGGCAACCTAATTGCTTTCCCATGTCTTGCTGGAGTGGTGCTGGCAGCCAGAGAGCTACCAGAACCTGAACTAATTTGGTAAATAAGGACCAAAAACAAGGACCGCATTTCTGCTTCCTTTGCTGAGACCCAGACTCCCCACAGAATTCCAGAGATTTTTCTTTTTTGGAAATCACTGGACCTCCAGCCCTGAATTCCTCTCCCCAGGAGAGCCTGTTCCCCTGCTCAGAACAAATAACATATTTTCTGGTTAATTGGAAGTCAGGAGAGCTTGAAGAAGGGTGATTGGGGCCCCAGTCTTCCAGAGAAGTCAGCTCATGGGCTCAGTGTCCTACAGACACCGGGCAGCTGGGACTACTGCGTGGTACAGCTTCCATCTCAAGTTCTGAAAATGGAGGTGGTACAGGATGAGCCCCCTCTCTCTGATGACTTCTATGCCCATAGAGGTAGGTTGTCAAGATCACTCTGACTCATACGTCATAGCCTGTCATCCCCACAAATTCACAGCCACTGGGTCTGATCTGTTGACGTCTGTCCCTCCCGGTGAGTATGGATGCTGGCTTAGTGGTGGCAGCCACAGAGTAAATATCCACGCAGAGGTCAAGCAATCTGGCCTAACACTGTCGAATATTCTGAACGAGGTGCCTTCTGGGACTGGAGCTCCGTTCAGAGCTTCCCTGGCTTCTATTTTCTCATCTGAAAAGGGAGCTAATGATGCCCTTTCCTGGTTCCCTCCTCCAGAGCAAACCATGCTCCTGTCATTGGGAGGGGACCGATTACTGCCACGCCCTGCACTAGCACTTAGAAACTATCTGGCTCTGGGCTCAGTGCCCCATGTTCAATTTCTCATCCAGTTTTCACAATAATTCTGTGAAGGACGTGTTGCGTTTTCCTGTGTCGCGGGTGAGGGAGTGAAGACGCAGAGAGGTGAAATGACTTATCCACAATCATAGCTATGAGCAGCTACATAGTGACGCTCTCCTGGTTTATCTAGCTACAGACACTAAATCCATACCAGCTTCCAAGGGCAGGGAGACTATCTCCAGCCACACTCTCTGGGAGATAGAAACCCTCAGCATTTGGGGTACAGTAAAGATACTGATGGCCCCAGAACTTCTGTTAGTCCCAAGCAAGGTCCCCTGTCAGGCCTGTTAGTGGGCTAGGACTCCTTGTATCCAGGCAGATCAAAACCACCATAGTGAGTTTCGGAAACCCTGACTCCACCCACCAAGGAGAAGGAAGCGGGTCACGTTCAGCCTCCTTTGAGCAGCTGGCCGTTGCTGGCTGAGGCTCATCTTGTCCTCACCTTTTCTCTTTGGGGACAGGACAAGAGATTTACAAATGACATGAACCCCTATGCAGCTACGAAGCAGGCACTGTAATCTGCAGCTCACAAACCCAGAAGGGTATCTTGTTCAAGGTCACACGAGCTAGGAGTCCAGCCAGGATTCATCTAAGAAGTCTGAACAGCTCCAAAGTCCATAATTTTTCCACTATAGCACACTGTGCTCTCTCCAGGGTATCCTACAAAGATGTGAGATGGGCCATTCTTCAAAATAACTGACTCCACCCTGTTCCCTTCATTCCCAGGCTCTGGCATAAGGGTGAACTGGTCTGAAGTCTCCGCATTTAGTACTAAAGCCAAGATGTCATTTCCGACTTACTTGCACGTTTCTTTCAGTCTCTAATTAGAGCAGAATCTTCTAGAACTCCTGGGATCTGGAGCATAACAATGTCTTCCCCTTCTTGGTGTTTTTGTTGTTGTTGTCTGTTAGTTTGAGACAGGGTCTCACTGTGTACCCTTGACTGGCCTGGAACTCACCATATAGACCAGGCTGGCCTTGGACTTAAGAGAGCTCTACTTGCCTCTGCCTCTCAAGCATTATGATTAAACTCACATACCACCATATCCTGCTGAAGTACTATTTCTTCAGCAGAGGCTCCAAAGACCTGAATCACACAGGCATCTGGAGGCCTTTTTTCATCCATTCCGTGAGACCATGGGGACGTGTGTGCTCCCCTGGGGTGAGGGGAGAGCGAGACTGAAAGATTCTAAATCTCCAGGAAGAAATTCTAAGGACTTTGGGGAGAGGGACAGACCTGTGTAGAATTCTGAGGTGGCTGTGGAGGAATCTGAGGGCAAGACTGAGAGGGAGCAGCTGTCCTTGGCTGTCAGTAAGTTCTCCCAGCCTATTCACATCTTGGCCTCCTGCTGGGACAGCGACACTCACACACCCTGAGGGGTGAGGCAGGCTTGTCGGAACAAGCAAAGGGACAGCTATGGCTCTTTCCCTGGAGGCCGCCAGGAGGCTCGCCATTTATTCTATTCTCCTAGCCAAGAGAAGAGGATGCCACCGGCTCCCATGAGGTGAGACACAGGTCAAGAGAGGGGACATTCATGAAGTTGGCTCTGTCCCTAGGGCCTCAAGCCCTTAGGACCAGACCTGGATCCCAAAAGTCCCCAGGAAAGACCACAGACACCAGGCTGAGGGGGGAGGGGAGAGGTGCAGCCAGAGTCCACCAGCCCAGCCAGTCCCCATGACTCATCCCCTGTTTCTGTCCACTCTGGTCTGAGCGCCTTGGCCAAGGGGCCTTGAGGAGGTTGTAACACAGGCTGGCCTCTTGCCCATCTGGGCTCAGCAGACAAAAATTAAAGATCTCACCCCTCAGGAACTCACACAGACAGCAAAGACATGCTTAGTGCAGGGCTGCCTCTAAGACCAGACTTCAGGCCAGCTGATGCTGGTTGCCAAAGAGGAGGGAAAAGTCTTTGGCTCCACCCCCTCCTCTGCATCCCAGGAGTCCAGCCCTGAATCCCCAAGGCCTGTTCACTCCCCTCTCTGTCCCACTCTGGTCCCAGTCTGAAGGTGGCAGTGCCAACCAGTGTTTCCTCAGGTTCCTCCTTCCTGACCCTTCCCACCTCTCCCTGAAGACAATACTCCATGTCTTCCAAGAGAAACAGACTTGTAATTAGTTCTCCATCCATTTCTGGACACACAGTTCCGACTCTGTCACTTCCCTTACTCAACAACCTTCCGTGGCTCCCCACTACTTCATTAATCAAGCCAAACCTTTCGCTGGGGCTGGCCCCTAAGCTTACCTCACATCAGACCCTTCGCTTCTATTTCTGCTGACACTCAACACACTCACTCACTCAACATCTCTTCCCCATCCCCTTTCCCTTTCCTGCGGCTCACTCTAATCCAGATACCTTCGCACATGTAATTTCCTTCACCTTGAATGTTTTTCACCACCCCTGCTCTCAATTTCAAAGGCCACCTCTTCTAGGAATTTCCTAGATTACTCCTTCCGTCTAGAAAGCTTGCTGCCTCCACCAGACCTCTATGGCTTTCAGTGTTCTCCATGGCACCCTGTGCGTTCCAGGCCGCAGCTGGTGGCACTGGCGGAGGAGAAGAACACGGAGCTAACCTCAACACAGTCCTTGATCAGTTCCGCAGCATGAGCGAAGGGACTCTGAGTCAGATTCCTCACCAGGGAACTAGCGGATGTCTTTCTATGCATAGCTCCTAGCAAAAATCAACTGTATATTGCCAGTGAGACCAGCCCAGGGCACACGTGCCTGGACCAGGTATGAGGCACCACTCTGAAAGCAGCCGCTTTATTGATTGGTGACCTAAGACTTCTATGGTCTGATTCAAACATAGACATCACGGGATGAATCATATCTTCTCTCTGAATTAGCAGTTAGCAGTCCAGGCCTTGAAAATCCAAACCTGGAATTCAAACACAGCGGGCAAGTCTCTGCTCTCTAGAAGTCATGTTCTAGCCATGGTCATAGAACCAGAGAATGATGAAACCAGACTGGGTAGTCAGAAGTCTGAAGCGTGGGTCTCCAGGCTGGGGTTTGGTCTTGACTAGTTGGCCCTTGCTGTAGGCTCGAGAAGTACACAGCCCTGAACTGATGCTCTGTAGAAGACTAAAGGCCACCACATCCCGTGCCAACCATGCAGAGCACTTGGGCCACTTGGGAGCAAAAGGCTCTTCCGTTCCAGGTAGTTCAGGCCAAAGTCAGATGGTTACAGGAAGCAAACATCCTTGGTCTGCATCTGCCTCTAATGGAACTCACTGGCCTGCCCTCCCTCCACCCCGGGACTCAGCTTTTTATGGATATACAAATTCAAATCCCTGTCAACACTAAAATTTATATTTGAGGAGCAGACAGACAAGGGCTATGGAGCCAAGAACTGTAGGGTTCAGAGAACGTGCCTGCAGGAGGGAACTTCCTTATGGGACCAAGCAGTCAATGCTGTTAACTTAACAGTTCAGGAAACTGAGGTCCCAAAGAGGGAGACAAGCTTGTCCAAGGTCCCATGGCTGATTTTGGCAGCACCCAGCCCTTGAATTAGGGTCTCCTGACTCCCAAGCCTTTCAGCTCTTTCTCTTTCAACTCCCATGGAAAGCTGGGAGCGATTTGACCGTCTGGGCACGAGAGGCCAGGAGCCGCTTGAGCACGTCAGAGTGGGGCCTTGGGGCCTGGGAATCTCTCTGATGGGGAGTGCATGTGCCAAAGCTGCTGGAGGAGAAGAGGGGTGAAGGTCAGGGAGGATACCAAAGAGATAAGCTGTCAGCATCCCACTCTTCTCCTCGTCAAGCGTCCATGGTGACAGAGGAGCAACAGCCCCGTTCCTGGCTCTCCGTGGAGAGCTTCCTCACTGGCAGTGCCCATTGTCTTGCTGCTGAAAACTGTCTACAGCCTCATCTCTTAAAGTATAGAATTTTCCTCAGGCACACTGAGATGTCCCTGCACACCTACTTCTAGCTGAAGGTCCACTCACTCGACGAGGCTCACAATGCTCTCCCTCTCACTCCACAGGCTAGGCAGCGGGGATAGACAGCTAGGGCATCCTCACTCCCTTGCAATGTTAAGTGTTATGGTTTGAATGTGAATTTTCCCCATAGGCGCATGTGCTGGACACCTGGTCCCCAGGTGGTACTATTTGGGAAGGTCATGGAAACTTTAGGAGTTGATTAACTGGAAGTAGGTTCCTAGAAGCAGGCCTTTGAAGAGTACACCTATTGCCCCTGGCCCCTTCCTACTCCACCCTTTTCTTTTGGCTTCCAACCCATCATGAGGTGATGAACCTCTTCCATCATATGTTCCAGCCACCATGATTGTTGTGGGAGACTGATTGGTCGTTCCCGGCTGCCTGGACTTGAAATCACCACACAGAAACTGTATTAATTAAATCAACACTTGGACTATTAGCTCTAGCTTCTTATTGGCTAGCTCTTACATCTTAATTTAACCCGTTTCTATTAATCTGTGTATTGCCATGTGGCTGTGGCTGCAGCTTGCTGGCAAGAACTGACAGAGACATCTTGCTGCCTGGATAGTCACCCAAAGTTCTTCTATACTGTTGGAGCATCCATATTCAGCCTACAGGCCCATAGTATCCAACAGACTTTACCACAAGGCAGGAAATTTGAAGATCTGTTCTGCCTTGTATTGACAAAGTCCATCAGTTGCTTTCTTCTGTGTTCTGCAGAATGTCTGGCAGGCTCTTTGATGAAGCAGGAAACTCGAAGGACAGTCTCACGTTTTGGTAAGTTCAGCAATCATTTTTCTGTGAGCCCTGCATGTCCAGTTCATACAGCATAACATCAAGCAGTCCAGGCAAGAGCAGTTTCTTGCCCAAGTAGCTAGCAAACTCCATAAGGAGCCTCTTCAATGCCCATCTTCCTCTTGAAGTTATTGGTGCTGCCAGGAGCAGACGTGTCTCATTGCCATCAAAAGTCTTAAGCTCTTAAAACATTTTAAATTGGGGTTGATGAGAGTGTTTCTGGTAAGCTTGGGTTAATGAATAGAGGTCTTAACTCTATTGATCTCCTGTTGTGAAATGTTTAACTATGTAACGATGTGTTACATTTGCTTATGTTATAGAATATTACTTTAACTGTGTAAAGGTGTGTTACATTTGTTTACATCAGAGAATATTATTTTAATTGTGTAAAGGTATATTACATTTGTTTCTGCTGCCTTTGTTAACAATGTAAAGATGTGTTACATTTGTTTGTGTTGCATTTGTTTATCTATGTAAAGATGTATCCCGTTTCACCTTGCCTGCCTAAGGTGCTTGGTTGGTCTAGTAAAAAACTGAATAGCCAATAGCTAGGCAGGAGAGGGATAAGCAGGGCTGGTTGGCAGACAGAATAAGTAGGAAGAGAAATCTAGGCTCAGGAAAGGGAAAGAGAAGAAGGAGGGAACAAGGGAGAAAGAGGGATAAATCTGGGGTCAGAAGCCAGGCAACTGGCAGCCAGACACCAGAAGCAGTGAAAGTAAGATATACAGGGGCTGGAGAGATGGCTCAGAGCGTAAGAGCACTGGATGCTCTTCCAGAGGTCCCGAGTTCAATTCCCAGCAACCACATGGTGGCTCACAACCATCTACAATGAGACCTGGTGCCTTCCTTGCCAGAAGTACATTGTATGCTTAATAAATAAATAAATCTTAAAAAAGTAAGATATACAGAAAGGAAGAAAGGTTAAAAGCCCCAGGCAAAATATAGATGAAGAGAACCAGGTTAAGTTGTAAGAGCATAAGGTAAGGCCAAGCATTCATAACTGATAATGATAGTGATGGAGTGTATAGACTATCAATCTGGATTCTTAGTCTCTTGATGTCTCCAGTCAGTAGCAGAGAGTCAGGACTAGAGGGAAGTCAGGGTGTCCTTAATCTCCATCAGTTCAAAGTTATCCAGATAAACATCAGTGAACACAAAGCCAGGGAGCTTGCTAGGCTTAAAGCAATCCCCCAACACTGCTTCCAACCAGCCTGCCCTATTTTACAGAAATGAGGAGAGCTGCCAGTTCTGTGGAGTGGCCTGGCCTCTGGCTCTTGCAGTGGTGACCCAACACCCAGAGTATCCCTTTCTTCTTCAGCCTGTTCCCAGATACCTCTCCCTTCTAAACCCAGTCTGAATGCTTTACTTCTGCACTTGACCTCTCTGGGGACTCAGCCTCAGGCTCCAAGCAAGTCTCACCCTTGTTTGGCTGCAGGACCCTCTGCAATCTCACAATCTCACCATGGTGTCACGCCTTTGACAATGTACACAATGCAGCTTTCCTCACTCCATAGATAGATAAACTTGACAGCCAATGGGCAGCACAGATAGTACCCCAAGCCCTTGTTTCTTAAGCACCCCTTCAGTGGGCATGTTGAAGAATCAGGTTGAGGATCCTTGTCATGTCTTATCCCGTGTGTCCTGTCCCAGTCCCCTGCCATGCTTGCAGGAAGAAGAAAGGTGACAGCTGCTTAGTACCTGAGTTCAAGGATAAAGCGCTCATCCGTGGCTGAGATGATGGGAGGACTGGGCTCAGGTGAAGTCTCTAAGATGGGTTGGGAGGTCTTGTCCAGGAGAAGACGGAAGAGGGTGAGGAAGAAGCATCCAATGACCACTAGCGCCAGGCTTGTGGACATCGACACCACACCCTATCCTGTTTCTTTTATTTTCATTTGGCTAGACTGCTAGCAGCAAGCCTGAGGGTCCTCCTGTCTCCTTGGCCACTCTGGGAGTACCAGCACACACCTCCACCCCTAGCTTTTTAACGTGACAGCTGGGGATCAAACTTAGGAACGTACGCTGTGAAGCAAGCATTTTTATCCACTGAGCCATCTTCCCAGATCCATCATTTCCTTTTTCAGTAGGGTTCCTGGTCAGCAAATTGCTGCCATAGTTTAGGGATATTTGGATGCTACGTGACATGGGCAGTCTGAAGAAATGCGAGGCCCTTGGTAATGCAGTTAGAAGATGCATAGCTGTCATATGCCCTTCCCCCACTGCAATGGGTGGGTGGAGGTCACTGAGAACTGTGCGATGGGGCAGGGACCAGCAGAAGGCTTCTCACAATTGGGAAGCAGGAAAAACATTTTTCTCAAATTTTCACATGACATAGAAATGAAGGAATAAATGATAAAATTGGATGCTAGAAATAAGATCTGAACTGAACTAGATAAATGGAGAGTCAATAGAGATAAGGGGAAAAGCCTTGCATCTTGGTCCAGAGAGGTCAGTAATTAAGTGAAGAATGGGAGATGCTGGCTCTGATAGTCAGTCATCTAAAATGACCTGAAATTGGTGGAGTGAACAGCGGAATCAGGGCACGGGTTACAGAGACTGTTGAAAAGGGACAGCCTAGTTAACCAGTGGTTAAAAAGTAAACTAGCAGCTGGGCATGGTGGCACACGCCTCTCACCCCAGGACTCCAGAGGCAGAAGCAGACAGATCTGATCTAATATAGTGAGATCTTGTCTCTTGGAAAAAAATAACAGTGACACCTTTTAATGGATCTAGTACCTTCTTTTATTGCCTTCAGGCCTAAGAACCGAGAGAGTGACGGTGTTCTCCAAACTATTCAGATGCAATGGAAGCTTTACACTACTAGACAATGATAATGTCGTATTATAACCCTGAGACATGTCTAAGGGGAGGTGGCCAAATGGAGATAAATATAGCCCAGAGGAAGGAGTGAGAGGCCAGAGAAGAAAACTGTTAGCAGATCTGACTATACACAAGTGTTTGTAGGACTACTGGGCAAGAGAGGGACAAGTGACTCCCTTGTTCTGTGTTTACATTAGTCAGAACAGTTTGACAACCTCTAAGGCCAAGTGTGGTGTCACATGCCTTTACTTCCAGAACTCAGGAGGCAAGGGAAGGTTCATCTTTGAGAGTTTGAAACTAGCCTGGTCGGCATAGTAAATCCCAAGCCAGCCAGTACTATAGTGAGACCCATCTAAAAACAAACAAAAACAATAAAATAAAATAAAATACAACAAAAAAACAAACCAGGGCTAGGTATACAGTTCAGTGGCAGAACCCTTGTCTAGCACGCTTGAGGCCAGGATTCGATCCCCAGAACTTACAAGTTTGTTCTTGCTTGTGTTCATACAAGCTTCAGGGACCTGGCTCCTCCCATTTATGGTGTTCTAGTATTTTGTAGATTCTTCTTCCATCAGCATAAAGGTGGAGCCTCAGTAGAACCTTACAATGAAGAAAGACTTCAGGAGTCATGGAAGCAGCAGTCTTTCCCACCAATGCCATCGTCCACCAGTGGATGGGCTATGCCATTCTGCCTTCTCTGCTTTCTCCCAACGAGTCAGAGGTGATGGCATCGCCACTGCCTCATGTCCTAACTACTCTTCCTCTGCTCTGACCACAGATTTAGACAAAGGCAACTTAAAGGAGAAAGGATTGCTTTTGACTCATGGCTTGAATGTGGAAGATTCCTGGCTACAGGAACTTGCAACAACTGGTCACTTTGCATCTGAAGTCAGGAAGCAAGGACCGAAGAATGCCTGTGTTCATCATCCATTCTGTGCGGTCCAAGAACCAAGCCCAGGGAATAATGCTGACCTCCTTCAAGGCAGTTCCTCCCACCTCCAGTAACCTAATTGAGATAATCCGCAGCAGGGGTTCTCCAAACCAAAACTAATCTAAATAATGCTGAAGCAGTGTGCCTGCAGTCTTCCCTCCGAGGTTGATTCCAGACCTTGTCAAGTTGACAAGTCTGCATTGACCCTCCTAAATGCAAACATCACCAGTGGCCCAGGCCAGCTGGAAGAGTGTTTTTCAAACTTCTAACCATAACTCACAGCAGGAAGCCCATCTTGCAACATGGCTAGCTATCCAGGGACATATAATCACTGAGATGAGGCATCCCTGTTCACTGGGAGGCATTCTCATGATTTCTATTGCCTCTCTTCTGTTTTACATTTTAATGTTGGTCATGACTCACTTCAGTGATTTCACAGCCCACAGACGGACTGCAATGCTCAGCTCAGCCCCGGAGTTCCAGACAGGAGTCAGGAAACTTGGGACAAGCCCAAAGGCAAGGTGTGACGCAGAAGCCAGCATGGACAATGCATAGGACCCAAGAAGAAAGACCCGGAAGCCCCTCAACCCAGAGAAAAAGGAGGCACCAGGGAACTTACCAGGTTTCCACGTTTACCAAGACATCGTCTCTCTGTGGTTTTCTTGTGTTCACTGACGGTAGTGCTAAGGGGATTGACTGAAACTCAGCGGAAGAGATTTCAGTTTATAGAAGATTGGCAGCTGAGGGTGTGAGGGGAGTGGGGGCGTCAGAGTGTTCATGGTAAAAAGGTTCAGGACTGGTCCCCTTGTTCACAGCAAGGTAAAGGCAGATGTAGGTAAAAGCCCCGGCTAAAGTCTTGTTAATCTAGGATGAGTTTAATGTTTTCCCAAGAGACAAAGGACAGGTGTGATGGCTTGAGCAGAACTTGTTCAGACTTGGGGGCTTCGCGAGCACTTTCAGCTCACCCTGTCCATAGCCTGCCTAGAGACCTTCATCCTGGCTCGTGTCAGCGAAGAGCGCCCAAGCAGAAAGACCCCAGACAGAGAGCCAGAGGGTCCGAGGCTGGGGAAAAGAGAGATTTCAGTAGAGCGGGGTCGGTGAGGGTAGGAGGCGGCCTCTGTGTGCCGAGCTGGGCAAGCCATGGTGTAGCATGACGGCTCCACACCACCATAGTAAGTGACCAAGTCAAGTAGAGCAGAGTTATGAGCTTAGAATCAGGAAGGAGGCAGGTCTAGCCCATCACCTCTGCAGTGATGTGCTGAAAGCAGGAGGAAATTGCCCGGCATGTGAAGGCCAACAAAGCTATTCCCTGTGCCAGCAGGACAGGAGAACACTGAGCAGAGTGTCACTAGGGCTCATCCTCCCCCCATATCTGGCATCCTCCGCAGAAGCTGGAATTTAGGAGGTGAGGGTTGCTCAGAGGAGTCTGAGATGGACCTCCTGGGAGTAGGAATTAGATGTCAAGAGATTCTGTTGCAGTCCTAAGGGCCCAGGAGTTGCAATGGCACTGGGCACCCTTAGGGAGAGGAGAAGACCCAGGGAGGATGCCAGCTGAAGCCCTGGGCAGGCCGTGAGGAGAGATGCTGAATAGAGGCAAAGGCTGGGCTTAATGACAGGCAGAAGGTACTGGTCTTCCCTGCCCCACCAGGGCAGCACAAATGGCCACAGTATTTCCAGACTGTAAACACCAAGAGGGACAAGGTTTGTCTGGATCTAGGACTGGCTAGGACTGATGGAAAAGAGCCCGGTGTAGGGAGGAAGCCAGAGCCTGGCATCCTCTGTCATGACTGCTCCAGACCATGGGAGAAACTCTGGGAGACCCAGGGACCATCCAGAAAACCTCACAGAGCAAAGAGCTGGACACCACCCCAAATAAAGATCTTGGACAAGCTTGTGTTTATGTAGGAGTTGGTCACCTACAGGTATTTTCTCCCTTTGGAGCTCAAAGTCCAAAGCCTCAGACTGGCATTTCTGTTTGGACGGACAGGGTTCTATAGACATTTAGGGGAGCTGGCTTTACCTCCCAGCACCAGGGTTCAGCTAGGGCAGTGCAATAACTATTTATGGTGCATGCCCATTACCCTCTCACAAGTGGGGTGACCCTCCCAATGGCTTCCACATGGACTTTCACCCTTCCACTCTGCTTTCTTGTATGGAAAATTCCTGCCAGAAGCAGAGTCTATGGATGCAGTCTCACCTTCTGTCCGGCACTGGGATAATGAGGCATTCAGATCAGATGCGGGTTAAAATAGAGACTGTGACCAGAGACACAAAGGACCTAGGATAGGACTTCCTCCCTACCTGGGGCCTCAGTTCACCCAGTTGTAACACGAGGGGACTTAGCTCTCTGGCAGTCACAGATTTCACCGATTACAGCCCTTGGCTCAGCCTGTGATTGCTATGAGAATAGCCCCAGGCACTAAGGTACTCAGCAGGCTGGGGTGTTCCTCTTACCCCGTGACTCTCTTACCCCGTAACTCTCTTAGACTGTGTTAGTCCCTTTACCATCCCCTCTTTCATTCTCACACAACCATTCCTTTTCCTTCAGCAAACTGCCCCACTGTTTTCTAGGTCTTTCGATGAATGGCCAATTACTGTATTTGCCACAAGGCACATAGCCTAAACCGGCCCAATTAGATTCTCTCTCATGATTTGACCCGGCGGCAGATAAACATTTTAATGGCACCATCCAATTTGCAGCTCCCCCAGAAAGACATGAGTCCCAAGGAGTCTCTGGGACTGAGCACAGTTGCTGTCTAAATTCCTAGCTCTCTTGAATCCTACCTCTGCAGGTCATAGATGTGAACAGAAGGCCCTTCCTCCCCCTTTAGGGCTGAAGGATGGCTTAGTTCTCCCATAGCAGTCAGTGGAAGTAGGAGGCATGGCAAGGAGGGTCTGTTTATTCAACAAGACTAGGGGCAACTCCATAGTAGGGTGTGTGCTCAGCCGTGATGTGGCCCTGAGTTTCTCCAAGGGTGATGCGGGGGAATTGTCTGTATTCTGTCAATCATATTTTAATAAAACGCTGATTGGCCAGGCAGGCAGTATGGGTGGGAAAACCAGACAGGAAGTAGAGGTGATGCAATGAAAACAGGAGTATCCTGGAAAGCAGGAAGCCATTCCTTCACTCCTGTACAGACCACCGAAGAGACAACATGTAACCTGCCCAGCTGAAAAAGGTATGGAGCCACTATGGCTAACATAGATTAGAATAATGGGTTAATATAAGTTATAAGAGTTAACAAGAAGCCTGACCCTATGGGCCAATCAGTTTATAACCTTATGGAGTCTTGTGTGTGATTTTCTTTGTTGCTTGCCGGCTGTTGGGGTACTGGGCTGGACAGAAACCCCAACAAGCCGGCCCCACATGTTACACAAGGGAAAAAGAACTAACTAGAATTCAAAGCATATCAGTTATTTCCGACACCTGGCTTAGGACCTTATACATTGTAGGTATTCCATTGCATGAGATCACATCCAACCTCCCTTTTATTTACTTACTTACTTACTTATTTTTATTTTATGTGTATGGACATTTTGACTGTGTATGTTGGTGTACCATGTGCATGCCTCATGGTCAAAAGAAGAGCATCAGAACCCCTGAAACTGAAGTTATAGATGGTTGCAAACCACCATGGGTGCCAGAAATCAAACCCAGGTCCTCCGGTACCGGTGCTCTTAAAAAGTCTTTTTTTTTTTTTTTAAATTTTTCAAGACAGGGTTTTCTGTGTAGCCCTGGCTGTTCTGGAACTCTATCTATAGACCAGGCTGACCTTGAGTTCAAAGATCTTCCTGCCTCTGCCTCCCGAGTGCTGGCATTAAAGGTGTGCACCATGACTGCCCAGTAGAACCAGTGACCTTAACCAGTGAGCCATCTCCTCAGCCCTCTGGATCAGAATGTTGAAGCCAGCAACTCCGCTGAGAGCAAAACTTAAAGCGTTATCAGGGGACGCCACCTGAAGGAGAGAACAAACAGCTCTGCCGACCCTGCTCTGGGACCACGCAATTCCCACTGGACACAAGCACAGTGCGTCAGGCAGGGAGGATAATGGGCAGGCAGCTGGAGCGTTCAGAGGCACAGAAAGTCAAATGGTTTACAGAGAAACTGTGAGAAAGAGAAGAGCAGGGCAGGGATGTTGGGACACAAGGGAGTATGGTGTCTGGTGGCTTTGGCTGCAAGTTACAGAACTTGGCTCTAGCAGGCTACATAGGGGATAGGAATTGGCTGAAGGAGGCGCTCCTCAAGGCCTGGGAATGCCCACACCAGGGCGGCTCCGGGACTCTGGCGGCAGGCACCCATAGGCCATCTGTCTTTGGATGGTTCTGAGCCTTGATGGTTCGGAGTGACTCCCACCCACATTCAAAGTTCTCCAGGAAGTCTGATGGGTGCAGGGTCCACCCTTTGGGGTGGGAGGGAGGAATGGGAGCATCCCGTGGCCTGCAACACCATTAGGAATGTATGGAATTGGGGAGGGGAAGTTCCCCAAAGGAAAACTGGTTTTCTGTTCTCCAAAGGAGAAGGAGTGTTGGACATATGCACACAGCAGATGTTCGCTGCACATGGGATGTCAATTGAGCGAGGAGGGAGATGAGAGGGGTGGGGTCTGAGAATTTCCAGCACTCTCCAGAAACTGCCACAGGGGCCAAGACTCTTGCTCTAGCCTTGGATTGCGTTGCTCTTTCCCTCTAAAAGAGCAAGCACAGAAAAAAGGAACACTGTTTTTATTCTTGACAGCTTGATAGAATTGTCCCGTTAGCTTCCAGTCACGGTCAGCTTCTGCTAGAATAATTACCACCCACCTGTTCGGCAGACGAGAATTCACAGCCAGTGGATGCACATCTGGCCTGTAAAAGACACGCTTGGAAGTCTCCCAGGCTGCTTGGAACAGGCTGGGGACAACACAGGGTCAGCCACTGATTCGAAAGCAGGGAAACAGCTGGCCTGAGAGCCCTGGTCACTGAGCCTGACAGTTGCCCACCCATTGCCCGCAAGGTAGTTCAGTGGATGTAGGGTTGATGTGTGCCATGACCAGAAAAATCCCTGAGATTCAGAGGAAGTCTGAAGGGTGGGCCCTGCCCTGCTCCCCCAGTACACCCTTTTCTCCAGGCGTGGAAGGGGGGCCTGGGTGGTCTTTTAGGAGATGCTTTGACGTTTTTCTTCCTATTACTGTACACATCACTCTCTTCTAAGCATCTCAGAAATTAAGACCAATGGTGGCACATGCCTTTAATCCCAGCACTAGGGAGGCAGAGGCAGGAAGATCTCTGTGAGTTTGAGGCCTGCCTGGTCTACAAGAGCTAGCTCCAGGATAGCCAGGACTATATAAAGAGGCCCTGTCTCAAAACACAAAAGAACAACAAAAGACCTGGAGTAATTTTAGTGGGGCCTGAGGGTGGGGTGGGGGGAGCACCAGCAATTTGTTGGTGGTAAGAGCAACTGGATTTTTGGGTTTTGTTTTGTTTTGTTTGTTGTTTGTTTGTTTGTTTTTGAGACAGGGTTTCTCTTTGTAACAGTCCTGGCCGTCCTGAAACTCACTCTGTAGACCAGGCTGGCCTCAAATTCACTGAGATTCGCCTGCCTCTGCCTCCCAAGTGCTGGGATTAGAGGCGTGCGCGACCACCACCGTCTGGCTGGTTTTCTTTTTGTTTGTTTGTTTTTTAATGAATGCAGAACCAGAATGGACCTGAGAGCTGAGAGTTTCTCAGTCATTGGTTTCAGGTCTTTTTACTTTGGCAGCAAAAAAACTTTGTTCAATGTTCCAGCAGCCAACCAACATTTTGTTTTGTTTTGTTTATTTTTGTCTTTTGAGACAGGGTTTCTCTGTGTAGCCTTGGCTGTCCTGGAGCTCATTCTGTAGATCAGGCTGGCCTTGAACTCATAGAGATTTGCCTGTCTCTGCCTCCAAAGTGCTGGGATTAAAGGAGTGCACCACCACCACCACCACCACCACCACCTTCCTCAACCAATATTTATGAAGTGCCTGTCGTGGGTCAGGGGTTGTGTTGGAAGGTACAACAGCATGCATTCCAGACCCAACCTCTGCCCTCAGGAGCTCACTTACAGTCCAGAAGAGGTGACAGATGGAGGGAAGTACTCAGAGAACTAGTTCAGCTTTCAAGGGAAGTAGAGGTAGGAAAAGACGCATGCAGCTAGGTGACTCAGAATAGATATAGAGTTAGCAAAGGCAAAGAGAGACATTTGAGCGAAAATCCAAAGGGTACCAAGAAGAAAAAAGACAGGGAGTTGAATGAGCCAAGTAAGAGAGATTAAGGAAAATCCTGGTAGGAAGGCACTCTGGTAAGCAGCTGCCCCGGCCAAAACAAGCAGACAGTGTGGGGTGAGGCTGAGGGGACACAGGGACCAGACTACCAGGGCCTTAGAGTCCAGATCAAGAAAGAGAGCAGGAAACGTGGGAACTCTTGAGGCTGAAAAGGGACCCACCTACTCACCCTTTACCACCCAGAAGTTTTTGAGGCACTTTGGTGGAGCCATAGGCTTTGTGAAATATAGCTTTAAAAATCCCTATTCTAAATCTAGACCTTGTGTGAGGGACCTGCTTGGGCTGCTAAGGCAGGAGATAACAAGTTTGAGAACAACCTGAACTATAGACCAAGACTGTCTCAAGAATAACCAAACCAAGAAAAACTAAAAGCCACTGTCCCAGCCAGCCCTGTTAGCCATTAAATTTATTTTCAGACATTTATTTTATTTTATGCTTATAATTGTTTTGTCTGCACGCATGCTTGTGTACCGCATATATGCCTGGTGTCCAAGGGGGTCAGAAATGGGGGCTGGATCCCTGAAACTGGAGTCACAGGTGGTTGTGAGCCACCCTGCAGACGCTGGAAATTGAATCTGGATTCTCTGCGAGAATAACGGCTGCCTTTTAACTGTTGGCGCTAGCTTTCCAGTCCACGCTTGCCATTTTTAAGACAAGATTCCTGAACTTCACCAGCGGTTCACCTCCAGTGTTGCTCAGTTAACTCTGGGCAGCTCACCAGCCTTGTCAGAGACAATGTGATATCGGGACGAGTTCCCAGGACATGGCTCATCTTAGCAGTTCATGAATGACAAGAACAGTCTCCACAACCCCAAAGCTGTGGCACCGAGTGGGGAAGGGGTGGGGAGACACCAGGATGAGGTGTTACCCCCTGAAGTTCTGTGCTGGGAGAATCGCTGATCTCCTCCACCCCGCCTGTCCCCACCACTCACCCCAAGGCATAGACAGGCAGCCTGCCAGGTCAGCAGACCCTATTCAAGCCCTAGCCTCAACATTCTTCTTCACTCAGGGGTCAAGGTCAAGAGCAGGGTATTTTCCCAAGCTTCAAGGAACAGCGGCGCCTCCTGATAACCGCAGCTACTTCTTGGCTATTGGGACAGCCAGGCTGGAGAACAGAGTAGTCAGCTGGACCTCAAAGCCAGGGTGCAAGGGAAAGGGGCCTGGGGAAGAGGGCCTGGGATATATCAACAACTTCAGTCCCAGGAAGTAGAAGTCTACTGGCGAGAAAGAGCGATCAAGGCAGGAGGCTGAGCAAAAGCTCTGTCAGCTTCCAGAAGAGACTGGAATCTTCGGACCCAAGCCCAGGCGGTCCTCTTCTAACAAGCCTAGGGTCTGGCCTCTCTGGAGACCTCTAATTGGCTTGTCTGCAGCTTCTGGGGCAGGAGCCTGGAGACAGCTGGAATAGGCATCGCAGACCCCTTCCCAGCCTGCAGATGTTCAAAGGCCCAGCAGGTCTGGTTCTAAGGATCAAGAGGCAATTGCCCGACCATGAAGAGCTTCAGGGAGAATCTCTGGGTTCTGAAAGGCAGTTTTTAACTAGCTGAGGCTAGCCCAAGGTGTACAACTCTCCCTTCTGCTCTCACGTGGCACCCAGCTCTGTGAGCACAGAGCACCTGCCACTCTCCCCCGAGAGAAGAATGTACAGAACACAGGAGCAGGTATCAGAAAGCTTGAGTTAGGTCTAGCGGCTCCCTCTCTAGCTGTGTGATCTTCAGCAAAGCTCTTGGGCTCTCTGAGACTGCTTCCTTTTCTGTAAAAAATGGGAGGCATAAGGGTTTCCTGTATCCACAGAGCCAACATCCTTGGATTTGACTGTTCACAAACTGAAAATTGCATCTGGATTGACTGTGTAAGACTTTTCCCAGGGTCGTTGCTCCTTAATAATTCAGTATAACCATGACTTAATTAACATTTTACCTTATATTAGGCACTGTAAGGAATACAGAGGAGATATCAAATAGATTCTATGCCATCTGATAGAAGGGATTGGGCATCTTGGGCTTTTGGTATCTGCAGAAGGTCCTGGAACCAATCCCCCAAAGATACAGAAGGACACTTAGGAGTGTAGAAACAATTGGAAGAAGAAATAAAGTTAACTTGTGTCACCATGGTTACTCCTAACAGTGTGTGGGGATAAGAAGGAAAATAGGGATAATAAGAGGAAACCTTTGAATTTTAAAATGGAGAACTTGATGCTGGGGCTTCTGAAAGTTCCCAGTCCCATTACTAAGTTAAAGGTAGTGGGCATTGAGAACCTAGGGTGGGAAGGTTGTCCTCTATTAAAAGGAGAAAGGAGAGAGGAAGTCAAATTTCACAAGGTATTTGAGCCAAGAGTCTGGGCAGACAGCCGCTTCTCTGAGGGACGACTGGTGTCCTGTGCTCTGGGGCCTCTGGCAGCCATCACTGAGCTGCTGTTTTCCTCATTATCATGGCTGCTGCCTGGCTCGTCCACACTGGTGCTAAGGGCCAGAATTAATTCAGAGTCCCCAAGCAGACAGTGGAATCAGCAGCGGAGGACCGGATTTGGGGGACTGCAGGGATTTTTCAAAAGAATTTTTCAGAAGAAACTTAACTAGAAGGGCCGGAGAGATGGCTCAGCGGGCAAAGGCGCTTTCTGCACAAGCATGAAGACCTGAGTTCAAATCCCCAGCACCCACATTAAAAGCCAGATGTGGCCACAGGCCTGTAGCCCTAGAGCTGAAAAGGGGGACATAAACACGAGGATTACTGGGCATTGCTGGCCATCCTGTCAAGAAGGGTAAGGTGGAGAGGGGCAGAGCTATGTACCTTCTCTTGCTTCAGGTATGAATGGCATACATACTCTTACACGTGTGCACACCCACCACACACACTTAAATGCTTAAAAGAAACTTATCTAGAAACTTAAGAAATCGAACAAAATAAAAACATAAAAAGCTGGGCATGGTAATGCATTTCTGTAATCCTAGCTCTTAGAAGGTTGAGACAAAAGGATGGCAAGTTCAAGGCCAGCTTGGGCTTCAAAGTGAGCTTCAGGACAGTCTGAGACACTTAGCAAAGTTCTACCTCAAAGAAGAGGCATGCACACACACAAATTATAATGTATTGAATATGAATATGTTTGGGTCCTAGGATTAGGAAAATAATGGCCACTGTTTGTACTTCTAAAGCACAATTAATAAAAACTCAGAGAGAGAAATTGGGGTTCAACCTGAAGGTCAGAAAAGCAAAACAGCCAGTCATTGGTTCTTACCTCTACCTCAGTCTGAAATGGTGATCCTGCCTCCAGAAATCTCAGAATGAGACTGAGAACTGTTTCCTCCCATTTTATAATCCTCTCTAGGACTGGGATTAAAGGCACTGCCTGGTTTCTATAGCATCTAGTGTGGATACTGGGATTAAAGGTGCCTGGTCTGTAAGGCTGACCAGTGGGGCTGTTTTATTCTCTGATCATCAGGCAAGCTTTATTTATTAAAATACAAATGAAATGCTACTACATACTTTTTAACGTGTGTGTGTGTGTTTTAATATTGATAGTAGAGACTGAACTCAGGTCCTACACCTGTAAGGCAAATATTTCAGCATCTGAGCTATCTTCCCAGCCCTTTGTGCTCTTAATGTGTGTCATTTTCTTTCATTCTCTAGGATATGAGACCTGGACTATTAGCCTTTCTCCCTTTACAGATGTGGAGACTGATGCTCAGAGACACAAGGCCACCTGGCCAGTTCAAACAGATTGGGATTCAGACCTGCATCTCCCCTCTCCATCTCTCTCCCTCCTACTCTCTGTCTTTGCAGTGCTAGGGTTTAAACCTCTGTATATGTTAGGCAAGTATCTTACTCCTGACCTGCATCCCTACCCCTTGTTTCTCTTGAAATGGTGTTGCTATGTAGCCTAGGTTTCAAACTAGCCTCAAACTTGAATCCTCCTGCTCAAGCTTCCTGTCTGCCATGATACCCAACTTGTATCTGCTCTCAACCCCTAAATGAAAGAGATAGTGACAGACCTTGATCTTGACCTCATGCCTGTGAGTGAGTTGCTTGGGTCCCTATGGAAGAGTTCAGGCCAGCACCACGGCCCGCCTGAGGATCAGGTTTTCCCCAGGAGATAGCATGCGTTTGTCTTTCCGCAGTTCATCTCACGGTCCTCGTATCTGCTAGCTAAGAGAAAACAAAGAAATCAAACCCCATGGATTTCCGCTTATCCTTCATTTCAAGTTACCTCACAACAAGTTCTATTTCCACATTCTATTAACTCTGAGTTCACAGCACCTGAAGTGATGAGATGGAGCCTCTAAGTCAGGGCCTGGCACCCAGTCAATAGTCAATGCATTACCCCACTCATCAGCTAGGGGCCTCGGTCTTCAACCCCATCAGCAAGTCCCCCTGGCTCTATTGCTACAGGCAGCATACAGTATGGCCTTAACTGGAGCTGCTATCGTAGTTACTGATAAGGAGTAGTTACTGAGCTCATGAGCTGTCTCTTTTAATCCTGATAGCAATGTAGAAATGTTTTCTGCTCTCTCCCACTTACAGAGGATGAAACTGGGCTCAGAAAGTATGAAATAAGGATACAGCAAGGACGTGCAACTCCTCAGTGACAGGGCTAGGATCTGAGCCCAAACAGTCAACCCAAAGCCTGTGCACCAACTGCCCTACCCTGCTGCCTGGAAGGACACAACAAGAGATACTGAAGAGCAAATGAAGGAAGGAGATGGCATCATGCTCGGGGAGGTAGGGATATGGTCAGAGGGAACACATCCTATTGGACACTAGAAGGAGGACAAAAGAAACCAAAGAGGGGCGGGCTGGAGAGATAGCTCTGCAGCTAAGGGCACTTCTGCTCTTACAGAGGACCCAGGCTCAATTCCCAGCACCCACAGAGTGACTTACAACTGTTTTTAACTCCAGTTGCAGGGAATCTGGTGCCTTTGTCCGACCTCCTTGTGTACCAGGCATGCATGTGATACATAGATATATATGCAAGTAAAACATTCATACACCTATATGGAAAAAATTTAAGAGCAAAGTATAAAGAGAAATGTCTTTGGGTGAAAAACGATACTTGTATCTACTACAGCCCAACCATGGAACATCAGAAGATGCCCCCTCCCTAGACCATGAGGGCTTGCTTCTCCTTTGAGGCATGTCCTTGGCCAACTGGTCTACCTGGGAGAGCACTTCAAGAGCCTGAGGGGGTGGGAGCTTCGTCAAGTCTCCAGAATCAGTGTCAAATAGAACAGCCAAAGAACTCCTAAGAGGCACTGGGCAGGGCTGGCCAGGGTTTAGCTGGCACCATATGAACTGGCCTTTAATGAAGCTGTGTTTGGTACCCTAGCAGGAACAGACACAGAGGGACCCCTGAGTCTCAAGACTGTATTAGTCCTCAGTAATTATAGGCAGAAGCTTTGACCTCCAGAAGCCATAGTCACAGGTGGATGTGACAAAATATAATTCAAGGCTGGGCAGCTGACAGCGTGTTAGTCCCCCCCCTCCCCCGACACCCAATCAGAATAGACACAGCTGAAAGGTCAAATAAGACACACCTGGTGTGTGGCGAGCCTCCTTAGAAGTCCAGCCACATCCGTAAGCCCATCACATGACCTCACTTGTATGCTCAAAATCTGCCCCGTTTGTCAACATGTGCATCTTCCCACACAGTACTCTTTTGTGAGTCTATGTGCCAACCCATCCTTGAAGTCTCCTTAAACAAAGTGAAGCGATCACCTGCAGGGACCCTGATAGCCTTGTACTGCTTCTTCCTGGAAGGAAAACCAACAGCGACCTCACATGCACTGAGACGCTGTGAGGAGAGGATGCTATGAGAACCCTGTGGCTGTGCGGAGGGTTGGATGAAGAAAGGATGTCACGAGCACTTGGAACAAAGCTACAACACTGCAGAGCGTGGCTTCAGCGACTGGTGAAGTGCCAGGGGTTCTGCAGCTTTGCGACCATTTTTGCACGTATGTAGATACTAATTAGCAGAAATAACTTGCCTTTCTGGGTTGTCTGGCTCCGTGTCTATGGACATTCTTACATCCCAGAGAGCAATGGAGGATCTCTGGGGAGCGACATGTCATCACCATCACTTGCCTGGAAGCCGCTCAAGTGACGGCTGCAGGGAAAGCTGGGCCACTGCTGGCGGGCTGAGGTCTGAAGGGGAGCATGGATGCTCCCCAGGCTTTGCCTGGCTGTCGCAGGCACCAGTGGAATTTCTGAGCATGCCTGTAACTCTGCACCTGTCCCTTGTCACTTAGCCCCAGTCTGGCCCAGGCTAGATAGGCTGTAGCCAGAGGCAGACTAGAGAGAACTGGCCAGCGCTTCTGAGACGCGGGCTGAGGCCAGAAAACATTCAAAGGCTGGAGTTCCCAGAGCTGCTAAGGAATCCAGGTGAGAAGCCCAGGCTTCAGTGCTCTCGGCTCTCCACACACAGTTCTTGGCGCCTCTTTTTTCTTTTCTTTTTGGTGGCTGCATATGTGCAGATTTGCAATCCTACCACCAACCATGCCACTGTTCCTCACCGTGTGGTCTGTAGACCACCAGCAGCAGATGCGTGTGAGAAAGGCAGACTTTCAGGCGTTCCCCACTGGATCGCAGTCTGTATATGAACATGATCCCTGGGGGGTTGGATGCTGTAATGCCTGGTTCTGAGCAACACTTGAAAGCAGGGCTAATCCACGTTGGCTGTCTAAACACTCAGCTTCCACATCCCATGTGTTCCTCAAGAAGGAAGCGCTCACCCAGTGCGTGATTTCACCTGCTATTTGGAAATAATTGAAGACGTAGTGAAAAGCTGCAAAAATTAATCCATGACATTCTCAAACACACCACCCAGCTCCCCGAGTATTAGTCCAGGACATTCCCATACACACCCAGCACCCTGAGTATTAGTCCAGGGTGTTCTCATACACACAACCCAGCCCCCACCCTGAGTATTAGTCCAGGACATTCCCATACACACCACCCAGCCCCCTGAATATTAGTCCAGGACATTCCCATACACACACACACACACGCACACGCACACACCTCTGTTGGCCTTTTCTTCTGCTTTAGAACTCTCTTGACTTTTAGTTGTTGGGTCTCTTGAAGTCCTACAATCTCTGATAGTTCCTCAGTTTTATTCAGTTTATAGTTCCTCCTTGTCTTTTATGATCTTGACTCTTTATGTGATGACTCTTCAGACACTTGGCAGTCTGTCTCTCTACTTGGGTGTGTCTGCTGTTTTCTTCTAAGCAGACTGAGGTTATGTTTTTTGTTTTTGTTTTGTAAAAGCCACTGAAGTGGTCCTAGACTCTTCCCCAGAGGGACAGTATCTCAAAGGGTACAAGATGTCGTTATGTCTTAATACCAAGAATGGTGATCTTGATCATGTAGTTAAGTTTGTGTCTGTTGTTTTTCTCCCCTTCTCATCCTAAAATTACCACTATCTTTTTCTCTTCAAAAAAGACAAAGAAGCCTGTCTCAGAGGAGGCATTTGGGAAGCCTGCAACTACATGGATTCCATTTAAACTTTTTCCACTGAGCCTCATACCCACCCACGTCTGGTGGAGCTTTCCTTCAACTATTATTGTCTCTGTTTGTCTAATGGTGATTTACATTTCCCCAGTCCCTTCTATATTTATTAGCTGAAATTCTAGCAAAAAGGTAATCTCTCTTACTCATTTTAAAGCTTCATTGTTTATTTCAGCAATATCTTGTGGGCATTTGTTTGATCCTGTGGCTTATAATCTCACACACCATTACTATTATTTTATTTTGCTGCTTAAATTGTTCCCCAGTTTACCCTTGTAAGTTGGTTGCTAAGTCTCTACCACAGGCTCCACCCTTCACTAGACTCATCTTGTTGATAAGGTTCCAATGAGTAGACCGTAGATGGAAAAGTAGACGGATATATAAGATCATCTTCCTGCCAGTCTCCAGCATGGAAGCTGCAGATAGCTCAGTTCTCAGTTGGGAAGGACAGGTGTCCGATGCCTCACAGAGCCTCTTGCCTCTGCTGCTCTAGGACCACCAAGGAAGGCTAGAAAAACGTCTAACCTGAAGACAAAGGCTGTTCCTGTGGAAGTGAGGCCTAGGACTTTGCCTTGCCCTGAAATACCTGCCATGGGCTGTCTATAGCTAGCAAGCAGTGTGCAAGTGCTTACTAGTCTGCGTAGCAGAGTCAGATTCCTGACCACGCTGTGCCTCAGTTTCACAAAAGTAAAATGCGGGTGATATAAGCATTTGTCATCAACCTGAATAATACTGACTTTTAAATGTGTAAATTGCTTAGGACATTCTGCAGTATATGTAAATAATCAAGGACCGTTACCCGGGGAGCCTGGCATCCTTAGCATTAGCCTGCACTGTTGATTCCATTCAGTAAATATTCATCAAGCATCCACACTGTAGCATGCAACACTGAGTCCTACGGCTTCAGCAGTGAAGAAAAGAGATAACACTGCTCTCACACAGCGAGAGGACCCTCTCTCCACCCTTCTGGAATAGAAATAGTCTAACCCTAAAAAGCCTTGCCCTGGCTGTTCTGGAATTCTCTATGTAGTTCAGATTGGGCCCAAACTCACAGAGATCCGCCTGCCTCTGTCTCCTGAGTGCTGGGATTAAAGGCACATGCCACCATGCCTGGCTACTTTTTAAGACGGCAGAGTGAGGAAGGAGATAGAATAACAGCAATGCTGTCAACCATTTAATTCAGGCTTTAGTGAATTGAAGCACTGCACTATGCTACGGCAAGGACACGTGACCCAATCAGTATCCGCAAGACTAGCTTCCTGGTTCCTCACGGTACGGAGCACGGGAAGAATAGCCTGAAGATTGACGCCAACATCACTATTGTAGAACCCGAGTGAAGGGAAGAGTCCTGCTGGCCTTGCATAAGTCAAGACTATGTTCTGAAAGTGGGCATGGTGATATTTGCCTGTGCCTGTAATACCCAGCAGCAATCAGGAGGCTGAGGCAGGAGGATTAGAGTATAAAATGAGGCCTGACTTCTGTCCTATGGTCTGCTTTTCAGCTATACAAGCTAAGAAATTCCCTTCCATTGCTTATACCTGAATCCTGAGCTTGCTTCAACCTGTACAAAGCCTGACACCTCAGCTGTTACTGTTCTCAGTGCTTCATAGTTCTGTGCCTTGGTCACAAGTACACACCACACAAACACACCACATACACAGCCCCAACCCCTATACAGACTAACACACACACACCATACACACACATACACACCACACAAATACACCACATATACCACATACACACACACAAAACCTCAATGCCTATACACATTAACACACACACCACACACACACAAACACACAAACCTACCCAGCACACTAATACACACACATACCACACACACCATATACACACACCACACAAACACCACACATACACACACACACACACACACACACACACACATTACAGTTTACAGCCCACCCTTGACTTCTCTCCTGCTTGCCTTGCCCTTTCCCAAGCTCCTCTGCCCAAGCCACTTCCGCCCAGGCCAGTCAGAATGAATTCCCAGCCCCTAGTTTGGCCTCTGGTGGCCTTGCCTTTTCTGCTTCAGAAGTCTGAGCAACTATGCCTTCTCTCAATAAGCCAGCAGGGAAATGCTACCCTCAACAGCAGAAGGCTCCCACTCCTTCTAGAGTCCCCTGTACTATTACCTCATCTCCTGTGTCTGAGATCTCCTGTAGCTAGGCCTGGGTGGATTCAAGGATGTTTGAGCCCTCCCACCTCTGTGCCCAGTTAGAAGGCTATCTCGTAAGGGCAGACCAGGAGACACCCAAAGTCCCTCATCCTTTGGGAATATCCCCCACCTCCCTCCCCCAGGGCTAAAAAATGCAGTGTCCAAATCACTTACTCATCCACTGATTGTTGACATGTCTTGTGCTGTCTTCCAACTTCTTTTATTGTAAGACTTGCCTCTTTGCACTGACTGTAAGCCTAGCATGGGACCCAGTAAACAATGAAGAAATTATGGCTGAAAAAATGAATAATTGGGTAAAGGGTAAAATGAGTAGAATAAAGAAGAAGGTAGTAGTAGGACCTGGGTAGAGCGGCAGAAGGTGACACAGCCCAGGGGAGGAGCAGCGGGAGGAGACGGGTGGTAGGATGGGGCAGGGTGGCAGGATGCAGGATGGAGCAGCTAGCCTGACAGGATGTCAGGAAGGACACAAATATCCAAGGTCTCTCAACTTTGTGTTTCTGTGAACAAAACAAAACAAACCAAAAAGCCGACGCGAGCTCTGTACTCATCCACAGTTTATAACACAAGCGCCATTCTCAAGGGCGCTGTGCATCACGCTTTGACGTGACCAGTCACGGCAGATGAGGGCTCTACTCTCATATCCCACACCCCAGGGTCTGGGAGATCCAATGAACTTGAGTGCCTCCCAGCCAAGAGCTCCAAGTCCTCTTCAGGTCAGCGCCACAGTGGCCTCTGTCCTGCCACAAAGATTTTCCTTCTCTCTGGGCCACCAATTCCCATGCCTGGTTCTACACTGGCACTGCCCAGAGCCGATGAGACCTCAGACAACCCAAGAGAGCTTCGGGTGACTGCATGGGTTTGCAGCTACAAATGAAAAGCCACGTTTTGTTTTGAATGGATTGTGCTCTGGCAGGAAGGCCTGGGATGCAAATCCACCGAGAGACGATGCAGATGGGAAGCAGATGTGGGGATGTTGCAAGCCCTTCTCCAGCGCCTTAGGCCCACCTTTTAGAATGCAGGCCTTCTGCTGCAGAACATTGATGGGGGTGTAGACACTGTGGGAGCCCCAGCTGCCACCTTTGCCTTCTCCCCCTCCCACTCAGGACCAAACGTTCCTTTTCTTGCATCCTTAGAAGATGTGTCTGTCCTTCCTGCCCTCTCCTCTGCCTACCTCTTGCCCTGTCTCTTTCTGTCACTTGCCTCTCTTGCTCTGTCTCTTTCTCAGACATTCTGTCTGTCCCCAGTCTTTGCCTCTCCCTCCTTTGTCTTGGCTGCTTCCCAAAGCTTCTGCCCCTACCCTCCATGCTTGGATAAATCTGCCAATCAGCTTGAATCCCTGGGGTGAGGAACAGGAAGAACTGGCCAAGGGCAGACAGCAACCCCAGTTCCCTGAAGGAAGCTGTTTCAAGCCAGCTAGGCCTGGGCGAGCTGAGGCCAAGAATTTCTCACTTACCCTCAGGGCTGGATATTTAGTCTGAGTTGGGGAGGGCAGGTGGCAACCAGCCTGGAGCTTCTAAGCCTGCAGGAGTCCCGGCGCTGTCCTTAAGTTCCTGCTCCTCCGTGGGACACTGCTCTCCCCATCCTGGTTTGGGACCAGCATTACAGAGAGGTAGCAGAGCTGGGTACTGTGGTCACTATTTCCCAAGGGCCCAGGCCCAGGTGAAGGGCAGGCAGGACAGGAAGAAGCATATTTTGTATACTCCACTGCACTGCTAAGCAATCCTTCCCTTTCCACCCCTGCAAGGCCCCAGCCAGCCTCCAAATGCACGCGTGCTTGTTCCTTGGCCTGTATACAGCATACATACTTTATCCAATTGATACTGGGCTCCACATTCAGCTGTCTTGTTTTTCTTTATGTTCTGCAAGCCCTCTCGCGTTCTCAGACAAGACCTCAGGACCACTTCTAGCACATTCCAGGGGCCACCAGTCATCTCAAAATTTGATTCTGAACTCTTGAGTGCTACTCAACTTTTGAGAAGAACTTGAGAGACATCCTGAAAAGCATCTAAAAATAGGATGTTGCCATTCCCAGCAGACTGAATCCGTGTAGAGGGACATTTCACAGAGGCTTCTGTGGTGTGAATGAGGAGGCTGTCAGAACACAGCTGGGGCCTCTCCCTGGCACTCCCCCAGGCTCTGCTCAATGGTGTCCTTCCCCTCCAGCAGGCATTTGTTCCAGGACCCATGGGCACTTCATGGTCCCCAGGACTGGGCGGAACCATATCATAAGATGTAGTCTCAGGAGCTTGGCACTCAGTGTGGCATCTAAGCTTGGCTCTGGACCCCTTCCTGCATTGAGCATTCATCGCCCATGTGCCTCACACAGCTCGGCCATGGTTTTAAGGGGCGAGTAAATCAGCAAGCACATCTCTCTGCTTGTGAAGAAGATGGACGGGGTGCTGACACCTGGGTCACAGTCAGGGGAGGTTTGGGAGAGTCCGGGCAGCTGAGGGGCTCTCAGACAGGTCACAGCAGCCATCTCGGAGATTCAGTTTCGTCACCCAGTAGAGTGGGAGGTAGTCAGAGGACTATTATGAGGAGCCACACAGTTAAAATAATTAGTACATAGGCTGGCAGATGGCAGGGACTGAGTTCTCTGCTAACCTGCCCCCAGACCCCCATGTTATTGCAGGGTATACAGCTCACTTCCAAGAGCTGGCCCTGCATCTTTGTCAGAGGTCTGCCTTTGGCTGCTTGATTCTGCTTGGGAGACCTGCATAGAAGGCAGCCAGGTGCCTGGGTAGTTACTTCCCTGAGCCCCAACAGGCAGCCCCCAAGGACTCTGGGAGTAAGGGATACATGCCTAGTCTCCAGAACTCCCTGCAGACAGTCAAGTCCCCTCCACAGCTCTTTGGCTGGCACTGTGTCCTTGCTTGGCCTTCTTCTCTTCCCTCCCCCGACCCCTGGAAAGATTCCTAAAAAACTGTTACTTTCACACACAAACCCTTGTTTCTCTTCACCTGGGAAAAACAATTTAGGACACTGGGAAATGTTATGTAAACTTTAGGAGGTGTCCTTAAGCTATGTGACCCCTTCTTCCTGTAGAGTTGTCCCGTGGCCAAGGTGAGTCCCCCCAAGCCTCTATGGAACCAGTCACAAAACCCTGGCCATCTAACTCCATGGACATCTCTTTTTCCTGTACAGGCAAAGGCCACAGAAGCTGACAGCTTGGCTCTGGCAGATACCTCTCTACCCTCAATTCAGGAATCTGTCTGAGCTATTGGCCTCTGGATTCTATGTCCTCCCTCCAGGGACGGGCACAGGATACCAAAGGGTAGTATAACATTCATACTTGGTAACTGCTACCTTCTTCTAGTGCTAGCTACTGCAAGGTCATGCTGAAGTTAGTTCTCCTTTTCCCACATGGGGCAGAAGCAGTTGATAAAGGTCAGATCCAGAGGCTAGTCTGGTTATTTTTTCCTGAACTTTGTGATGTTTATGGCATTTGCTAGCCTTTAAAACTGTGATTTGCTGATATTTTTCCTTGTTCCAAATATTATCCTTTTACCTAATTTTATAGTTCTCCCCCTCCCCATAAAGATGACTTCCAAAATTATAGAGGCTTGAGATAACCTAAAACCTTAATGTGCTTTGATTACCTGAGGTTTGAAGACTTGGTCAGGCTTGACTCCACCTCCCTACACTTCAAGTCAAGCTTTTCTTCCCATCTCCGCTATTCCAGTGTTGGATGTGACCACAAATGCATACTTTATAGCAGGCCCATTTGAAAACATGCCCAATTCAGATTCCTTCAGTCCCCAAATGTCACAGCTGCCCATCACCAGCTGACACAGAAGGCGGCAGAAATCAAAACAGACTCGGAGAACTTCAATTCTTTTTTTTTTCAAATATTAGCAAATAATGTAAAATATCTAACCTTGCTGGGTGTTGGTGAGCATGCCTTTACTCCCAGCATCCAGGAGGCAGAGGCAGAGACAAAGACAGAAGCAGAGGCAAATAGATCTCTGTGAGTTCAAGGCCAGCCTGGTCTACACAGTGAATTCCACAGTGAATAAAATATATATGTGATATATGTGAGATAAATATATCCTTGAAAAAAATGACTTTGGGAGCAGCTTGCCTGGGTAAAGGGCCTTGAACACAAGCCTCAAAGCTTCCTAGGAATTGGCCTTTGGTTGCTGGACTTATTGTTTTAAGGTTTGAGGGTTTTACACACATCCCAAATGTAAAAAGGAAGTATGGCTGTTCAGGGCTCTTCTTTCCTTGGTGCTTCTCAGTTGTGACAAGAGGACCCTATAGCATATTGAGGCAAGACAGAAGGGGAACTGGAAATGGTCACCACGGTTATAGCTAATAATGAACTTGGCTTCTGGCATTGATCTTAATGGTAGGAGGTATCTGGCATCCACAAGCCCAAGTTTTCCCTTCTTTTGCATGTTTTTTGTTTCAGGTGACACCCCCCACACACACACACACACTTCCTTTTTCAAAGTGTCTTCTAAAAAAAAAATCCAGGTTTATCGTTATTGAATGGAAGAGAAGGACAAATGTGATTAGCTCTGTTTATGACAGGCCAGGGCTGGAGCCCAACAGAAACCAGAAATGGAAGAGCAATCTAGCATCTATAGGCTCTTTTGTGGGTTCCAGAACCTTTCTCCCCACCACTACTTCATTTGAGTTTCAAACTCCCTCTGCACTGTACACAGTAGCACATGTTAGAATCGATCTTTTCTAGGTAAATGAGAGACTAAGTCATCCATGTAATAGTGGTTACTTAGCCTCAGTTAAAATTCAACACAGTCTAAGAAATTTGTGGTTATTCGTTTACATTGTAAGTAATTTTTTAAAGAGGGCAGGGGCCACAGTGTAACTCACAGTGTAACATTCACTGGGAATTTCAAGACTCTAGGTTCAATCCTAAACACCACAAAAATACAGGAGATTGGGGAGATGGCTCAGCAGGCATAGTGCTTGCTGCTCAAGAATGAAGACCTAAATATGGATTCCCAGCTCCCACATAAAGTTGGATGCATCTGTGTGTGCCCACTGCTGGAGAGAAGGGAATAGATCTTGGAGGCTCACTGGTCAGCTTGTCTAGCTAAAATGCTGAACTTCAAGTCCAATGAGAGACCTTGTCTCAAAGAATAAGATGGAGAACAATAGAAGAGACCTGATGTTGAACTCTGGCTCCCATGTGCACACACATGTACACACCCCCCACACAAGTAATAATAAAAATGATAATGCCTGCCCCATCCCTTTTGGGTTGAGAGTCTTACTATGGAGTTCAGGCTGACCTCAACTCAGAGTGATTCTCCTGCCCCTGCCTCCTAAATGCTGGCTGGCATTGCAGGCATGAGCCTCCACACCAGCTGTATCTTCCTTTTAAAAGGTTATGGTTAAGATTCTTTCTCATGAGTTCTCTAACCCTCGTCTCCTCTGACACAAGCTGGGTTTGGAGGTTGAGGACAGACAGGCCAAGGTG